GGGCCATGATGGACTTTGTCTCCCTGGCAGTATCCCAACAGAGCCTCCCTGGCGAGTGCATCCCAAAAGCAGGGAGCCACCTCCGAAAAGGCCCCGTTCTCGTGTTGCCACCCTCCAGACCTCTCCCAGAGGAGTCACACAAAGAAGGGCCTCAGAGGGCAGGGTCTGGCTTGCTTCCTACGGGGAGAGGCGGTTCTGGAGGCGTTGCAGTCGTGAGGCAGACAAGAAGAGAAACCAGGCTCCAAAAACCTCTCCGTTTATTAAGTTACAAGGCGATCAAAGGGGTGCATGGGGGGGGTCAGGGAGGGCAGGGCCGTGCCGATCAGAGGGCAGCTCCCGGGCGCAAGCGGGGCAGAGGCTTGGGCTGCTGGAGGATGTGCTGTCGGCTGGGGGTGGGCACCCGAAGGCACATGGGGTGCAGGTTCCCCGGCCCCTCCTTGGCCTCCTCCTGGTGCGCATGGGGAGAGACCTTTTCCCGGACGCCACCCACACACCGGAGGGTCACCCCCGTGGCCAGCTGCACCGTCTGGGTCAGCAAGTTGGGCCTGACAAAGACGAAGCTGGTGGGCTGCAGGACCCCTCCGGCCGGGCTGGGCGGCTGGGCGGCTTTCTCCGCCAGGCTCCTCCGCACGCCCAGCAGCCTTTCGCCGTGGGCACTGCCCTTCTCGGCCGGGCCCCTGGGCAGCTTGTGGGCTCTGCGCCCCGAGACGGTCTTCAGGGCCTCCTGCTGCTGTGACTCCACCTCCGGGTCCACCACCTCGGCCGAGGGCTTGACCCAGCGCTTGGGCAGGCTGGCCGGCTCCAGGCGCGGCGCGGCGGTGATGTTGCCCGCCTGGTCGTAGAAGACGTCCCGGATGTTGGGCGGGCGGCCCAGCTGGATCCGCAGCAGGTTGCTGCAGGAGAGCGGCAGGAGGCACGGGCGCGAGGCCTCCTCCACGGGCATCAGGGAGAGCTGGCGCAGGAGCAGCTCCTTCTCCGGAGCCGGCCAGCGGCTTCACGATGTCGCTCAGCCGGGACGCCTGCAGGGGCCCGTAGTAGGCCTGGGGGCCCAGCCTGCTCTTGCAGGATGGCAGGGGGGACGGCAGGGGGGCGATGGACACCAGGTGGGTTCCGGACTTCAGCACCACCTTGCTGCTGCGGGACCTGGCAGGCCGCACCTCCTTCAAGGACTCCTGGGCCAGCTTCTCTGCCTCCCACCTGGGGGTCCCCTGGGGGAAGCCCTGAGCAGCAATATCGGAGGGCCCTGCGGGCTCCTCTTTGGCAATGGGGGACTCCTCCGGGAGTTGAGGAACTTCCTCTGGGAGTCTGGGAACCTGGAGGAGAGACGTTGGCCAGGTCAGCCGACGGACCAGAAGATCAGCACCCCAAAATTTGAACATTGTTAGGTAAAGGTACCCCTGACCGTTAGGTCCAGTCGTGGACGACTCTGGGGTTGTGTGCTTATCTCGCTCTATAGGCCAAGGGGGCTGGCATTTGTCCGCCAACAGCTTCCGGGTCATGTGGCCAGCATGACTAAGCCGCTTCTGGCAAACCAGAGCAGCGCACGGAAACGCTGTTTACCTTTCCGCCAGAGCGGTACCTATTTATCTACTTGCACTAGTGTGCTCTCAAACTGCTAGGTTGGCAGGAGCTGGGACCGAACAACAGGAGCTCACCCCATCGTGGGGATTCGAACCGCTGACCTTCTGATCAGCAAGCCCTAGGTTCTGTGGTTTAGACCACAGCGCCACCCATGTCCCTTGAACATTGTTAGTGACCTTTAAAAATGACAATGTCCATCTGAGATAAGAAGCACCGATCGCTCTTCTTTCAGGAAACGCCCGAGAACTTGTTGGCCCAAACTGGAAATCTCTGGAACACTCGCAAAGGTCGCATTGGAGAAAAAAGCTTTCAGGGAAACGGACCAAGGAAGTTAAAGCCTTAAGCTGGGAAGAGACAGTTTCATAGCACTATGTCCATTACAATGGCATCCACCAGAGTTGCATTTGAACCTTGGAAAAATGCTTCTCCATAGGACCCTCTGGTTTGGGGAAATTGGGTGAGGAGGGGAAGTTGCTTACTAAGGGGTGCTGTAGTCTCATGTTCCTTTTGAAAAACCAATTAAAAACATTTAAGAACACAAGCCAAGGGGCTAGAAGCCAGCCTGTTGGACTGGGTGGGAGAAGCTGACTGGTTATAATATCATTATTATTTATTAATTTCTATACACCGCCCTTCCTCGAGAAACAACAGGGCATTTTACAACATAAAATAAAAAAATTCATGGGGTTGAGTTTTTTTTTTGCAATGTTTTGAAAGACTAGGCTTTGCTGCTATGGTAGCAGAGCTGTTTTGACAGTGAAACAGTCTCCCTTGGGAGATGGTGGACTTTCCTTCCTTGGGGGTTTTAAGCCGAGGTCAGGGATGCTTGAGCCGAGATTCCTGCACTGCAGGGGGCTGAACTTGATGACTCTCAGGGAACTCTTTCAACTCTATGGTTCTGTGACTCTAAGGTTAGCCTCAAAACTGGGGGTATGAAGAGCAGAATCAGGACATCTACCCGGACACTGAGGTCCAGTTCTGAGGGCCTTCTGGCGGTTCCCTCCCTGCAAGAAGCCAAGTTACAGAGAACCAGGCAGAGGGCCTTCTCGGTGGTGGCACCCGCCCTGTGGAATGCCCTCCCACCAGATGTCAAAGAGAAATATAACTACCAAACTTTTAGAAGACACCTGAAGGCAGCCCTGTTTAGGGGAACTTTTAATGTTTAATAGACGATTGTATTTTAATATTCTGTTGGAAGCTGCCCAGAGTGTCTGGGGAAACCCAACCAGATGGGACGGGGATAAATCATAAATTATTATTATTATATTATTATTATTATTACAAGCTACTATTCCAAGTCCTCGTAGTGAAGAGGAGACAAATCCCGGTGTTTGCGGGGGAGACATTGGTTCCATATTTCTAGGCAAGAGGCTCTCCGGGGAGTCAGGCAGGGGACCTTCCCAACCTGACTGCTCTGTCCGGGGTTGGCAAACTGCAAAACTGCAGAGGGATGGGGGCAGTTCAGGTGAAAGGGCAAAGCGTGGACTTTGCCGGAGGGCTGTGCCAAACGGGGAGGGATTTTCAAGGCTTGTGCCACTGCCAGAACGCTGTCGGTCCAGGAGGAGGTGAACAAGGTAACTTGCGGCTCTTTTACAGCCAAGGCCACCTGCTCACTACACCAGCCTCCAGGGCAGGAGGAACTGCGGCTTCCAGGCCAGGGGTACGGAGTCCATCTTGCGCAGTATTTGGCAGGGAGTTTCTCCCAGCCCTAACCAGAGATGCTGCCTCTGGGGCCTGAACCCAAAGCCTTCAGCTCCACCACGGAGCTACGGCCCTCCCTGGAGGACGCAACACCTCACGAGAGCAGCAGGGAAACTGCAGCATGATGCTGCCATGCCACATTTGCCGCAACATCCCAGGGAGACCTTCAACCTGCTAGGAACTAAGCCCATCGTGAGCTAGGGAGGGGCAAAATTGGTTTTCAATTATATCACCAGCTGAACACTGCAATATACTGATCTATCACAATGTCTGACACAAGGATGGAGCTACGCAGAGGCTCTGGCTGTATTCCTGCTATTTCCTGCACTGTGATTTTTGGGTAGCGCACATGCAGCATGATTTGCAATACAGTTGTACCTCGGAAGTCGAACGGAATCTGTTCCAGAAGTCCATTTAACGTTCGGAAACCAAGGCGCGGCTTCCGATTGGCTGCAGAAAGCTCCTGCAGCCAATCAGAAGCCGCGGAAGCCCTGTCGGACGTTCCAAAGAACGTTTGCAAACCGGAACAGTCACTTCCGGGTCTGCGGCGTTTGGGAGCCAAGGTGTAGGTCAAAAATGATGAAACTGGAGGTCATGATATGGTTTTGGACAATATATCGATATACCACCCAGCTGAGGCCTTCTCTGCGGGCCAAGCACCCCCTGTCCCTTCTGCCCTCCTGGCAGGATCTGTCCTCTGGGGCCCCTGGTCCACCCAGCCCTCCTCTGGATGCCTCCCTGATCACCCCCCCCCCCAGCGTTATTGGAAGGATCTTGAATTCATCAGCCCCAGCAGGACGATGCCATCCCGCGCCAGCCTGGCAGGTGTGCCAGCCTCACTGCCCTCCTACCTCTGGCTCCTCCGGGCGCGGCATGGCTTGCAGCACAGGCACAGAGCCCTGGGCCCAGGAGTCGGTGATGCCGGCAACTGGCTCCTCGTCCTCCTGCCAGGTGGGCTCCGCGGGCACCCCGGCCTCGCCCTCGTCTCGCACCAGGAAGCGCCACTCGATGATCTGGAGCATGGCGTCCCGGGCCTGGGTGATGACGTAGGGGATGCACTGGGAGGGGGCAGAGCGGAGGGTGAGCAGGAGATTGGGGAGGGAGGGTCTGGCAGGGTCCCCTCCAAGGCTCACGGCCTCACCACCACCCCCCCCAGCCGGTCTGGAAACCCCAAGGAGAGAAAGAGAAACACACACAGACACACACACACACACACACACACACACACACACACACTGTGCTCTCCCACAAACAGCCCAGCTCTGAGCGTCAGAGTCAGAGGGGCAGGCAGGAAGCTGAGGCTGAGGGGCGAGATTTGCACCCGTGGCACATGCACACCTGGTTGGCCTCTTTCAAAAGGCCAGGCCGTCAGGCTCCTTGATACGGGATGGACACCTTCAGCCTATCCCTTTCGGTGCCTGCAAAAAATGCTGGGATTCCTGCATTGCAGCGGGCTGGACTAGATGGCCCTCGGGGGACCCCTCCAACTCTGCAGTTCTCTGATTCCAAGCTGTTTGCAACGGCTGGGCTAAGAAACGAAACATATTGTTGTTGTTGTTTAGTCATTTAGTCATGTCCGCCTCTTCGTGACCCCCTGGACCAGAGCACGCCAGGCCCTCCTGTCTTCCACTGCCTCCCGCAGTTTGGTCAAACTCATGTTTGTAGCTTCGAGAACACTGTCCCACCATCTCGTCCTCTGTCGTCCCCTTCTCCTTGTGCCCTCCATCTTCCCCAACATCAGGGTCTTTTCCAGGGAGTCTTCTCTTCTCCTGAGGTGGCCAAAGTCTTGGAGCCTCAGCTTCAGGATCTGACCTTCCAGTGAGCACTCAGGGCTGATTTCCTTCAGAATGGAGAGGCTGGATCTTCTTGCAGTCCATGGGACTCTCAAGAGTCTCCTCCAGCACCAGAATTCAAAAGCATCAATTCTTCGGCGATCAGCCTTCTTTATGGTCCAGCTCTCACTTCCATACATCACTACTGGGAAAACCATGGCTTTAACTATACGGACCTTTGTCGGCAAGGTGATGTTTCTGCTTTTTAAGATGCTGTGTTAGGTGCCAATTATTCTTATTCTTGATAGAATCACAGAATGGTGGAGTTGGAAGGGACCCCGAGTCATGCGGACATTTAGTTCAACCCCCTGCAATGCAGGAATCTCCACCAGATCACACATGACAGGTGACCATCCATTTATCTTTATATTTATCTTGTGTTTTTCAGGGTGGCTTAAAGAGAAAGTGAGAGAAAAAGCTAAAAGCATAGAATGATAATCATTAGGAAGCTCCTGGTAGAGTACAGGGTCATGTTTAAGGTGCTGGTTTTGACCTTTAAAGCTCTATGTGGCCTAGGACCCTTGTACCTACAGGACCGCCTCTCCTGGTATGCCCCACGGAGAGCCTCAAGGTCCACAAATGACAACACTTTGGAGGTCCCAAGTCACAAGGTGGTTCGATTGGTCTCAACTAGGGCCAGGGCCTTTTCAGTACTGGCCCCGACTTGGTGGGACGCTGTGTCCCAAGAGACCAGGGCCCTGCGGGACTTGACATCTTTCCACAGGGCCTGCAAGACAGAGCTGTTCCGCCTGGCCTTTGGCTTGGACTCAGTCTGACCCTTATGTTTCCCTCCCCTTACGGTTTTGATCTATGGGCTACTATTAAAATGAGGCTGCATTTTAAATTGCATTTTAACCTGTATTTTAAATTGGGTTTTTTTCCCTATTATGTTTTTACTGTAATTTTACTGGTGTTATCTGCCCTGAGGCAGGCTCTGGCTGGGGAGGGCAGGGTATAAATAAATAAATATAAAAATATAAAAATAAAAATGCAAATGGCATTGAAACTACATATATATATGACCTATTAAGAACAGAAACAGCAGCAACAGTACTGCTTTCTCTGAAGGTGAACCCAGCTGGACAAAGTGGGCCATCACTGAGAAATAAAGCAGAAGAGAATCAATCACACAGGCCATCACTTGAAAAACAACACTTGCCCCCAAATGCCTGCTAGCTTCTATATCTGAGTTTCTGACGCTGCTCAGCCCTCCTCTCTTTCCTAGAAGGTGAGGGGCCTGGAGTCTGAAACCAAAGGGCTTCTGGCATGCAGCCTCCTCACCCTGGAAGGCAGCGCTGCCCAAAGAACGACTCACCTGCCTCTCCAAATAGACCTTGAAGCACTCCTCCAGGACCTGATCCATCAGCCCTGCCAGGATGTCGCCCACGTGATCCTCGGCTTCCTCAAAGCCCAGCAGGGAGAACCAGTCTCCTTCCGTCAGGCGCCCCGGGACGATCTCCACCTGGGGGACGGGCACCGTGGGCGGGCGCGACCTCTCCGCCCGGGACTTCGCCAGGGTCACGCGGGACGTCATTTTCTGCGGGGAAAACGGAACGCACCTCTCAGAGTCATTTCTTGAGATGGGGGGGGGGAGCAAGGAACAGCTCTGCGCCTGGTCCTCAGGAACGGCGCTGGTGCCAACAAACGCTCCCGTGCCCTTGCCCTCCCTGATCCCCGAAAGGGGTGCAGGGGGACTGGGGTGAGAAAGGAAGGATCCTCCTTGGTTTTTCAGTTCTGGGAGGGAAGGAAATGGGAGGGAAGCTCTGGGTCCCAGCACCAGCTCTGGGAGGAAATGATACTCAGCGCCTGAGGCTGGCATGGGCTGCAGGGACAAGGTGAAGGGCCCTGCCTGCAGGCTGGCGTAGCTTAGGTAGCCGGTTCCCCACAGCTCACACCATTGGTCCACCCAGCCTGGGACACCTACTCTGGGGGTGGGGGAGTGGCAGCAGATTCCCAGGATCTGCAAGGAGCCAAAGATGCCCTGGAGGAATCTGGGGGCTTCTGCACACACCATAGGATGTTCTATGAGTTCTGGGCCCTTTCCAGCTTTGGGCAAAGGGGATCACAGCTCTGTAGGGTCCCTGATGGGGGTTCTGGCCGCCTCTTGCCTCTGCCACATGGACTCCCATCAATGGAGTACGGATTGAATAGCAGGAGAAGAGACCACCAGCAGCAGGATCAGGCCAAAGGGGGGGGATCGTGTCCAGCACCCTGATCTCACAGTGGCTGACCAGATGCCCCAATAGGAAACCCGCAAGCAGGATTCGCACATGGGACCCCTCTCCCCTCCTGTAGTTTCCAGCAACTGGGATTCGGAAGCATTGCAGAGCAGAGGCCTTCTGGCTAGCAGCCATCCACAGCCCTCTCCTCCTCCACGGATTTGTCTGATCCTCGTGATGCAAGGCAGGAATTTAATTAATTACATTAATTAAAAATTTCTGCGCTGCTTTTCAATTAGAAAAGGAAAGCGGCTCATGCAGTGAAAGCGTGTAGCAACTGGCAATAAGATAAGCATCAACAGTCGCCATCATGGCTGAAGATACCAGGAACCAATATGGAGGGAGAGGCTGTGAGGCATAATGGTTAGAGCAGGGGTCAGCAAGGTTTATCTTGCCTGGGCCGGATCGGTCCCGCGGAAATTCCTCCGTGGGCTGGATTGTGCGTGCGCCTGTGGTTTTTGGCGTCTGCACATGCACAGATGCAATTTTGGGCACCTGCGTCTGTGCAGATTCAATTTTTGGTGCCGCGGAAGCAATTCCCTGCACCGCACTGCACCAGTTTAGCGCAGTGCATGAGCGGGCATCTCAGTTTGGGGGCGGCTTGTGGGCTGGTCAAACGACCTCCACTGGCTGCTTCCGGCCCATGGGCCTTAGGTTGCTGACCCCTGAGTTAGAGTGTCAGACTCTGACCTGGAAGACCAGGGTTTGAGTCCCCACTCAGCCAGGAAGCTCAGTGAGTGACCTTGGGCCAGTCCCTTGTTAGGATATTTCCGTTCCACCTTAAAAGGGAGCAGGCTTTGTGAGTCACAGAGTCTGCGCATTTCCTGTTCACAGGATGTTTATGTTTTCTATTGCTTTCGTTTTCTCTCTGTGTCTGGAGACACTGATGCAGGCAGTCATGTTTTTCTTTGTTCTGACCAACGCTGAATAAACTTGTAAATAATGCTCTCCTGAGTGCAACTTCTGCTGTGAATTATCTGCTGATAGAGTGTGCATGAGCTCTGGAATGTAGCAAGCTATTTCTGAAAGCTCATGTCACTAATTGCTGATACTGCGTGACTACGGGAGATCGATGGATCGTCCGGCAGCCGGCTTGGGGGCCATGATGGACTTTATCTCCCTGGCAGTATCCCAACATCCCTAACTCTCCGCCTCACCTACCTTGCAGGGGTGTTCTGGGGATTCAGTGAGGAAACGGAGAGCCAGACACACCTCACGGACCTCCTTAGACCAAAGGTACAATCGAGGAAATAAATAAGAGAAGGTTAGGGAAAGTCTGGGAGAAGAGGGAAATTTCCCCACGGGTGGTGAAAAGATCCTCCAGCTGCTGCCAGCCTTATCTCTGCAAGAAGAACATTTGACAGGATGGGGGCCAAGGACTTCAATGGCAGGAAAACAGAAGCAGAGCAGCCAGCAGGGGGCCGGGTGTCCCTGGCGTGACAGCTCAACCTCAGGCCCGGAGAGGGAACCCAGGCGTCCGGCTGTGTCCGCTTGCTGGTCGGAACTGGAAGCGCCTGAGTGGGGATCGCAAACGAAAGACAAGAAGAAATAAGTTCTTACGAGAAACCGCACCCAGAATCCTCAGCTGACGGCCGTTCACCTGCACGATTTCAACTTGACACAGCTGACAGCTGGTTTAAATCGTGGGCATTAAAAACACGGATGGCAGAGAGCTTAAAAGCTCTTTTGTGCTGCAAAGACGCTGAGAAAAAGAGGTTTTAACCTTGTAGGGTTTTTTGGGGGGGCGGCGGTGGCAAGAAACTCATTCCACACAGCACCTCTATGTTGCAGGAGCAGTTCGAATGGGGTGGCACAACTGCGCACTTCTGTGTTACGTGTGCCACCCCAGAACATAACTCATGCGCAAGATGCAAGAGACCTGTAACCTGTCACCAACTCCTCTGCCCCCCGGAAAGGAAACAAAGTGAAACCAATTCAGCTGTGAATAAACCGCCGGGACTGAAGACCCCCCCCCCAAAGCACCTGGGTCACCCTGCACCTCTGGGTTTCCACCCCTTTCTTTGCCAATTTTTACCTCCTTTGGGAGGGCCACCCACCTGCTGCCCACCTGAGGGAGGCTCACCTGCAGCCGCTCTGGACCGCAGAGTCCCAGATCGGAAGCCCAGTCCACCAACCGCCAGACCATTCCAAAGAACCCACAAAGCTCATTGTTCTGAGAACAGTGAGAACAGAGAGGAGTTGAAGGGAGAAGAAGCCGCCAGGGCCCCAGAGCGGCGGTTGCCATGGGGCCAGCTAGCGGGACCCCCTCCAGGGGATCGGCAGTCCAGCACCCGCCACCAGCAGGACCAACGGTCAGGGGGGAGGATGGAAGCTGCAGGCCATTGCCAGGGGACACCCCAGGGGTGAAGGCCAAGGGGAGAGCAGGGCAGCTGGAGCTCATGCGGAAGAGACGCCCGGGCAGCTGGAAGATTCAGGAGAGATGAAAGAAAGGCGGGGAGATAAACCGCGGAACTCGCTGCCACAGGAGGAAGTGATGACCACTAATCGAGATGGCTTTAGAAGACGGTAGGACATATTCCAGGGGTTGGACTAAATGACTGACCCCTGGTGTCCCTTCCAATTCCGCAGTTCTGTGTTACAAGTAAGAAACCAAGAGGAAAGGAATTTCATCAAGGAATGGGGGAAATTCGTGGGATATTTGAATACAAAGAAGTTCGTTAGCAGGATCAACGTAAGACAAGCAGTTAAAAGTAATGCTATAGAAATATTAGGAAGCAATTAATAGACAGACTAACGTAGGAAATGCAGTATTTTAAAATAAAATTATAAGAAACTGCAACAGCGGAGAAGGAAAGTCAATATATATATGCTTAGTGGGAAAATATTTGATTTGTGCGCCTCTGAATCCCAGTTGCTGGAGCCGCAGGAGGGAGAGTTGCTCTTGTGCTTGGGCCATGTTTGTGGTTTTCCCATTGGGGGCATCTGGTCAGCCAGAGGGAGACCCAGAGGCCTGATCCGGCTGAAGGCTCTTCTCCCCTGACTCTCTGATGTCCAGAGGAGAATTTCCCAGGAACGTCAGAGGAGTCTGCTGGATCAGACCCTGTTGAGGGATCCCAATGTCCAGCCCGGCCTCCCCTTCTCCAGGGTGTCCAGACAGAGGCCAAGGGTGGGAACCTGCAATCCGGCCCCCGGCCCCCTTCCAGCGCTGCAGGGCGGCCTCTGACCTGGGGAACCCTGTTGAGGGAAGTTTTTAATGTCTGACGCTGTACAGTGGTCCCTCGGGTTAAGTCCTTAATTCGTTCCGGAGGTCCGTTCTGAACCTGAAACTGTTCTTAACCTGAAGCACAATTTTAGCTAATGGGTACTCCTGCTGCTGCCGCGACGATTTCTGTTCTCATCCTGAAGCAACGTGCTTCACCCGAGGAACTCTTGCGGGGTAAGCGGAGTCTGGAACCTGAAGCGCCTGTAACCTGGAAGTGTATGTAACCTGAGGTACCACTGTATTGTTTTTAATATTCGGTTGGAAGCTGCCCAGAGTGGCTGGGGAAACCCAGCCAGATAGGCGGGGTATAAATAATAATAATAATAATAATAATTGGGGCCACCGGAACCTTAGAACCGGAACCCTGGAGTTGGAAGGGGCCCTGGAACCATTTCTTCCAACCTCCTGCAAGGCAGGGCCCTGTGCTAATTGTGCCTAGGACTAGAGGTCTGGCGTGGGGAGAGGGACCCCCAGAGGTCATCCATCCCAACCCCCTGCCTGCAGCAGGGATCTCAGCTCCCTGTAAATCTGGTCCCCTTGTAAGCCGCCTTGAGCAGTGTTTTCACTACGGAAAGGCGGCATACAAATAAAATGCTGAGGATGATGATGGGCCCGGGAAGCTCCTCCTGCCGTGCAGGCAGGGGGTTGGGATGGATGACCTCTGGGGACCCCGCCCCCCCGCGCTCCCGGCCCGGCCGCCTCCTGAGGCGGGGAGTTCCGCCGCCCCTCCCGCCCAGCATGGCGGCCCCTGCCCCCCCCCGGCATGCGCGCCCCCGCGCCCTCACCGCCAGGCTGAGGAAGGTGGAGGAGACTTCGCGCAGAGACGGGCGCGCCCCGCGAGACGCCGCCAGCAGCCGCGTCGCCATGGCAACTCCGCCCGGCCGCCAATCGCCCGCGCCCCGCCGGCCACCGTCCTGACGTCAGCGCGCCCGGGCGCCGTCTCCATGACAGCGGGGCAAGCGGGCCGGAGGAGGAAGAGGCGCCGGAGAAGGCGGCGGGTGAGGCGGGGGCGCCGCGGGCCGGGAGGGGGCGGCGGGGGCCGGGAAGGGCCGGGACGTCGCCTCGCTGCCCCCGGAGCGGGAGAGCGCGCGCATGCGCCCTGCGCGGCGGTGACTGGGCCGCCTCGCCGCTGGGCGGGGCCTCCGCACGCCCCGCCCCTGTTCCCGAGCCCTGAGGAGCTAGATGTCGGCGTGCGGGGAGGCAGGGAGAGAGCGGAGGCCCCTTGGGCAGAGGGAGGGGAGCATAGCTGGCAACGTACAGAGTTGAAACTAAGGGGCCAGCAGCCAAAAGAAGGGATTTTAGCCAACCAGCTGAAATGCGGAGTTAAAAGGGACCAGATAATTTGGGAGAGCAGCGCCGGTTTTTAGCCCTTCGTTTCCAGACACCAGCTGATGAAACACTGCAATTAAATAGCTCCAAGCAGCAACCACTTTTGGCGCAAAACGAAGGCCAAGCTGCAAAGGTGCTGCTGCAGTTCTGCATCTTTTCTCCTGTGCTCCATCTGCAGCTCCCAGTTCCATCAGGCGGGGCGGGAGGAAGGGGGGGGAATAGCACCCGAAGTAAACACGCAGATCAGACCATCTATGCTAGTCTACCACTACTAATCTATGGGTCCTTCCTCTGCTCCCCCCCCCATGCTTAGCCCTTGGAACACCTGCCTCCTCCTACTGCTAGTTGTCGGCGTGCGGGGAGGGAGAGAGCGGAGGCGCCTTGGGACTCCTGGGCCTCTGGAGCCCGCCTTTCTCCCCCCAGCACAACCCCCCCCCCCGGCGAGGGAGCGCAGGTGGCGCTGTGGGTTAAACCACAGAGCCTAGGACTGGGCCAGCGCTCTGCACATGCTCAGGAACGCTCTGGGGCTGAGGTCTGGCTCTGGAGGGTGATAACGGAGAAATCCGAGGGCACTCAGGAGAGTCATGGCCCTCTCCTGAATGATGCTGGAGGAAAGAAGATGGGGGATTTTTTGCTGCCATGAACTTCCTTGCATCCCAAGACCTAATAATAATAATAATAATAATTTATTTATACCCTGCCCTCCCCAAGCAAAGGCTGGGCTCAGGGCGGCTAACACAAGCGAGGAAGACCAGAGCAAAACAGCAGCCAGGAGGCTTGGTCTTGATGGAAGACTGTCGCGACAGGACTCCCACCTGCCACAAGGTGGAACAAGATGGAAACCCCGAACAAAAGAAGACCCCAACTTTTATTAGCTGCTCATCCCCATGTTAGGGACGCGGGTGGCGCTGTGGGTTAAACCACAGAGCCCAGGACTTGCCAATCAGAAAGTTGGCAGTTTGAATCCCAGCGACGGGGTGAGCTCCCATTGCTCAGTCCCTGCTCCTGCCAACCTAGCAGTTCAAAAGCACGTCAAAGTGCAAGTAGATAAATAGGTACCGCTCCGGCGGGAAGGTAAATGGCGTTTCCATGCGCTGCTCTGGTTCGCCAGAAGTGGCTTAGTCATGCTGGCCACATGACCCGGAAGCTGTACGCCGGCTCCCTCAGCCAGTAAAGCAAGATGAGCGCCACAACCCCAGAGTTGGCCATGACTGGACCTAATGGTCAGGGGTCCCTTTACCTTACTTTTTCTGACACCCCAACCCTGACACCCCAGACCTCAGTCAGGCACCGGCAAGAGCAGCTCCCGAAGCATAGCTGTCAACATTTCCCTTTTCTTGCGAGGAATCCTATTCGGAATAAGGGAATTTCCTTTTAAAAAAGGCAAACGTTGACAGCTATGCCCGGAAGGCACAGAGGGCAAAGGGGGCCCGGAGGGAATTGCCAGCAGGAGCCCCTAGCCCACCTCTCTCTCTAGAGGCTGGAAGTGTTCCTGAGGGGTGCTCAGGGTGCCAGACCCAGGTTCAAATCCTCCCTCGGGAATGGATTTTGGAGGGCAGCCCTTGAGCCAGCCCCACCCTTTCTGCCTCGCCTCCCCTTGGCAGGGTTGCTGCGGAAACGCAACAGGGAAGGGGAAGAACTGTGCATGCGACCTTGAGGCCCCTGCCAGCCAGCTGGTGCAGAGGGACTTTCTGGCGGATCAGGCCCTGCTTTGTTAGGGCAGGGAGGGGGCAGAGGGAGGCAGCTGGGATTCTGCAGCTGATGAAGCCACAGGAAGGCTCCCATCCACCATGCCTGGCTCTGGGCTGGCGTGCAGCTGAGCCTGAGTCAAGAATGGGTAACGGATCCCGAGGGACAAAGTGCCGGGCACCCAGAGTCCTGGCCTGCTCCATCCCTCCTCATATGTGCCTGCAGGCGTTCATTTTCGTTAATGCACGCATATTTAAAACATAACCAGCAAAGAATCTTGTGCATGTCCAACAGATTTGTTATGGTGTTATCCCTTGTGGATCATGAATCCAGTGCCTGGCGCTTGATGTGTAATTCTGATGCCACACGGGAGTGTGAAAGTTGAAACAAAACAAAACAAATAAATAAAAAAATCTTTCCAGCAGCACCTTAGAGACCAACTAAGTTGGTTATTGGTATGAGCTTTCATGTGCAAAGGTTTGGGGAGGGAACGTTGGAGCTAAATGACAGTGAAGTGGAAATTGTAACCACCTGATATTTCAGTTGGAGCTTAAGTGTATGCAAAAGAATCACAGGGACACTTTGCCTGGAAGGGAGTCACAAAGATGATGATGATGATGATGATGATGATAATGATAATAATAATATATTTATATCCTGCCTATCTGGCTGGGTTTCCCCAGCCACTCTGCTGGGCAGCTCCCAACAGAATATTAAAAACAGAATAAAACATCAAACATTTAAAAAATGGGTCCATGACACCTCCTAGCAGCCTCAGGGGCCAAGGTGAACATTCCAAACGGTGCAGAAGATGTCAAAAGCCATCCTGGTGGCTCAGGTAGTGATGGTGGTCCAGGGCTGCCGCACCTGTGGAGGACTCAGACCTTCATAGAACTGTAGAGTTGGAAGGGACCCCAGGGGCCATCTAGTCCAACCCCCTGCAATGCAGGAATCTCAACGGAAGCATCCATCCTAGGTAGACACCCGTCACTGCACTTCCCATCATCCCTGACCATTGACTGCACTGGCTGGGTCTGATGGGAGTTGTAGTCCAATCCAGAGGGCCAGTATTTCAGCGTTCTGCCCGGACACTGAGGTCCAGCTCTGAGGGCCTTCTGGCGGTTCCTTGCTGCAAGAAGCCAAGTTACAAGGAACCAAGCAGAGGGCCTTCTTGGTAGTGGCGCCCGCCCTGTGGAAGCCCTCCCACCAGATGTCAAAGAGAAAAATAACTACCAAACTTTTAGAAGACATCTGAAGGCAGCCCTGTTTAGGGAAGCTTTTAATGTTTAATAGGTTATTGTATTTTAGTGTTTTGCTAGAAGCCGCCCAGAGTGGCTGGGGAAACCCAGCCAGATGGGCGGGGTATAAATAATAAATTATTATTATTATTATTATTATTACTACCTGGCTGGCTCTCAAGCTGTGCTGCTGCCTGTCTCGGGTGCCTTCCTCTGCCTCTTGGCCTCATGCCCCTTCTCTCCCCCCACCCACTTTCCTCCTCCAGTCTCCCCCAAGCAGGATGTACCGAAAGGAGAAGAGCATTTTGCTGAAGGACAGCAGCCTGGCGCTGTACAACAACATGAGCGTCCTGCCCCTCCCGGCCAAGCAGCTCACCTACTTTGCCAGCGTGCATGGCACCACCGTCAACATGGTGAGCGCCTCCGACGACGGCCTCAGCTTCTCCCACCGCCAGCTGCAGGCCAAGGAGGGCAGCCTGGGCGTCGGGGCCTCCATCATCACCCAGGTAACGGGGCTGGCAGGGAGGGAGGGAGGGAGAGAGGAGAGCCCGTCCCCAGCTCCCTGCCCAATCAATGCCCCACAGGGCAGCTGCTCTTCTGCTGTCACTGAGAAGCCAATATCGGCACCCTGAGGCGTCAACATTGGCCAGCCCAGAACATGCTGATCGAAAGGGCGATTGGAACAGGCTGGGGCAGAGAGGAATCTGCCTGGCCAGAAGTGCAGGCCTTTATTTATTTATTTATCTATTTATCTATTTTAATTATTTTTATTTTCTTAACGTATAAAACATATGTACATATAAAACACATACATACATTTGCATAATACAGTGGTACCTCGGGTTAAGTACTTAATTTGTTTTGGAGGTCCATTCTTAACCTGAAACTGTTCTTAACCTGAAGCACCACTTTAGCTAATGGGGCCTCCCGCTGCCGCTGCGCCGCTGGAGCACAATTTCTGTTCTCATCCTGAAGCAAAGTTCTTAACCCGAGGTATTATTTCTGGGTTAGGAGAGTCTATAACCTGAAGCGTCTGTAACCTGAAGCGTAAGTAACCCGAGGTACCACTGTACACGTACACAACACACTACCTTATTTTCATAACATAAAACATACCTACATTACTCTATATATTACCTACCTATATGGTACATATCAACATACCTACACACCTACCCCACACGGACACCCACCAAGTGACTTCCAGCCGTTCTTGTTACTCTACTTCATTTTTCCAACTAGCTTAAAGGCATTTCATTATTTCTTTAATCTCTTCTTCTGTCTTAACTTTACTCTCCTTTCACTCTAATCATTTTCTGGATTCACTCAGTATCTGTCAGAAATTCTACTTTTCCCACGTAAATGTTGATGTATTCCTTAAAGATAGCCCACTCATTCACTTTTTGTACCAGATCTCCTCTTATCCTCCCTGTTAGTTCGGCAATATGGAAGTATTCCATCATTTTAGATAACCAGTCTGTTTTAGTTGGGACGCTGCTGCTTTTCCTACTTCTGGCAATCAACAACCTTGCTGCCATAGTTGTGAAGTGCAGGGCTTTATTTAAACTCAGCCCCAGATCTTTCCACCAAGAGTCCCAGTCCAGAATGCACAAAAGGAACAGCAGTGCCTCTGAGCCCATGCAGAAGGCCTTTCCTTCACTATTGAGCCAGTCGCTGGCACCTTTCTAGGCCTGCTTTAGCTCTGTGGTGTGGCTTGTGGGTGTGGTGGCATCTCAGGCAGCCTCCTTGGGTTGAATCATAGAACTGTAGCGGTGAAAGGGACCCCATGGAGTCATCTAGTCCAGCCCCCTGCAATACAGGAATCGCAACTAAAGCATCCCTGACCGATGGCCATCCAACTGCTCTGCTTAAACACCTCCAAGGAAGGAGAGTCCAGCACCTTCCACTGTTGAACGGCCCTTGCCACCAGCAAGTTGGGGAGCAGGGTCCTCCTCTGTCCCTCAAGGACCTGGCGTCCTTGCATTCCAGCTTCCATGGAGCAGACTGGCTCCTGCACTTCCCTCACCCGACAGGTGATGGAGGACGAAGAACTCCACAGAAGACCCCTTGGCCAGAGCCTGGGAGAGGAGAAGGTCTCTTTGGCCCCTAGGTGGACAGCTCAGTGCTGGGCCAGGTGATGGCTGCGTTTGCTCGAGAGGGAGGGAAGAGTTGGAAGGCGCTTTGCACGCGCTCTGAAGCATTGCCTTGCTCATTCATCTCTGTGCTTTCCTCTGTGGCCACGGGAAGCGGGCAGGGGGCAGAGAAGGGCGTCTTCCTGCTTCCTCTATTTGCACCCTTGTCTTCCAGGCTGCCTGGTGTGTCCTCCCTTCCCGGGTCCTCTTGGTTCTGACTTCACGGAAGGGGATCCAGGTGAGAAACGGAGCCGGGGGCCACGGAAACCTCTGCCCCAGAAAGGCCCCAAGCCGGTGACCTTCCAGACCCACCCCGTCTTCTGGGATGTGGACCGGCCCCCAGGAACCGCCTGCTGGATTCTTCAGCGCCTCTTACCTTCCTCTCTCTGCTCTTTCCCCCTTCCCCCAAGATGTACGAGTCGGACGGGTCCATCATGGTCTACTGGCATGCCCTGGAGGGCTTGGAGTCACCTCCAGGTACCCTTTCTGTTCCTGGCAGGAGGGAGGGAGGGAAGGGCACCTGCTTTCAAGGGCAAAAGGGGGCTTGCCATATTTCAAACAGTGAAAATCCATTCAGCTTTCCTATCTCAAGCCGCAGCAATAGCAGGTTCCACCTTTTTGATCCAAGACAGGAGATATTCCCCTCCCTTTAAAAAAAAAAATACATTTCAACAATAAGTACAACAAGTTGTCTCAGTCCTGTGGAACATGCTGCCACTAGATATTCAGTGGGTGCCTTCTGTGCCAACTTTTAAACACCTGCTGAAAGCCTTTCTATTTTGCCAGGCCTATGCAGACCATTAAGAAGTCCTGTATTTTTCGCTCCATAAGATGCACTTTTTTCCTCCTAAAAAGTAAAGGGAAATGTCTGTGCGTCTTATGGAGCGAATGCGTGGTCCCTGGAGCCGAGTTGCCCAGGGGCAAAAAGCAGATGGTGCTTTTTTTTTTTTAGAAAGAGGGAAGGGGGTGTTGAAACAAAGCAGCTGATGGGCAAGTGATTGGGACGGGGGGAGGTAAAAGCACATGGATCCTCAGGATTTTTGCATTGGATCACCCCAAATTCACCATCAGATCACATAGCATGTCCATGGCTACAGCCTGCACCAAAAAAATCACACACCCACTGTTTCGTGGGGCCACAATGGTGCAAAAATGTGGTTACAAAGCACGGGTCCACATGGATCCTCAGGATTTTTGCATTGGGATACCCCAAAGTCACCGTCAAATCACATATCATGTCTGTGGCCACAGCATGAACCACAAAAATCAGACATCCACTGTTTCGTTCAGAATATTTTTTTCCTTGTTTTCCTCCTCTAAAAACTAGGTGCGTCTTATGGTCAGATATGTCTTATGGAGCGAAAAATACGGGTCCATCTTTCCACAATGCTCTGTCGATGTTTGTTTTTAATTTATTTTTGCTTTTAACTTGTTTTTAACTTTTTATTAATCTATTGCTCTGTTTCATGTAAGCCACTGTGAAATACTTTTATGATGCAGCAGTATATAAATACTTCTATAGACAAAAAAAAAAAACAAACATCACATTTCCAAAAGCAGATCTATAAAACACCCACTTTTCTTAACTACTGGAGACCAGTTACCCGTGGGGCAGATTTGTAGTTTGGAATCCTCCTGTCTCCTATTCCTGTAGGCCCCTTCTCTTTCCCTCTAGTCCTGATGTCTTCTCTGAAGTTGTGTCTCAGCAGGTCTGAGAAGAAGCAGAGAGTGGACTAGAAGAAGCAGAGGCCTCGGAGCTGAACCTTTTAGAAGCCCACCTCTTTTCTGAATTTGCATGGAGTCCTCCTGCTGGGGACGTGGCCTTGCACACCTCCAAACCCGTGAGGGGCGAGTAGCAAGGCACCTCCCTGGCACATGCCTCCTGCCCGTTTGGAGGGGTGCACTTCCACGCCCAGGGAGCTCTGGGGCAAAGACCCCCAGCCAGCCCTGGGCCTCTGCGGCCGCCTGATCTCTGCATTCTCTCCTTTCCAGGGAAGGCTGTGTTTGCTCGTGGGATCGCGGCAACCGGGCAGCGCTTCGTTTGCGTAGGTGAGGAAGCAGGAAGGAAACGTGGGGGGGGGGGAGGTCAGGGGAGGAGAGCCGAGCCGAGTCAAAGGCACTGCTAGGCGGGGGGGGGGCACCCCATTGCTGTGGGTGAGAGTAGTCGACCCCCTGAGGACGTGCCATGCCTGAAGCCTCACTTTGCTGTGTCAGTGGCAGCAGCTGCAGAAGGGATTGGCGCCGTGGTTGAATTTCACGGAGATACGTTTGGCCAGGGGTCGGCAACCTAAGGCCCATGGGCCACAAGCAGCCCATGGGGGTCGTTTAACTGGCCCACGAGCTGCCCCCAAACTGAGCTGCCCGCTCAGCGAGTCCCTGCGCACTGCACTAAACCGGCATGGCACAAGGACTCGCTTCCACGGCACCGGAAATCACGTCTGCGCAGATGCAGACACCAGAAATCGCGATCCAGTCCATGGAGGGGTCTCCGCTGGAGTGAACCGGCCCAGGCGAGGTAAACCTTGCTGACCCCTGCGTTTGGCGGTGGGAATGGATAGCTAGTGGCACTGCTTTGCGGAGTTAGCCAGGAACGCCATCTAACTCCAGAGGACATATTCGCCCCGCACGAAGGCCAGTTCCCCTGGGAGAGGGCTGCAAGGAGGGTTAGTGCGGAATGGGTTGCCCCGGTGAGCTCACCTGGGCAGGTGGGAGGATGCTCTTCCGCAGGTGAGGTGAAAGCGGCCCACCTGGGCCTGCTGCTTCAGAACCCCCTTGCCCGCCTTCCCTCTGCAGGGACGTCCCTGGGGTCGGTCCTCGTCTTCGACGTCCCCGCCAAAGGCACCAACGTCACTCTGAGCGAAGTCCTGGAGAAGCACTGCGACTCCATCACCGACATTGCCGGCGAGCTGTGCGAGCAGCCGGTAAGGAGGAGCTGGGAGCCGCCGGGTGGGTGCCGCTCCCACAGGGCTCCCAAGCCCCCTGCTCGGGGGGAGCTGCTGCTGCTGCTGCTTCGCCTGGACGTGGTCTCGCCTCGCCTCAGGTGCTGCTATCGCCATGGGCTCGTTGGGAAGCCAGTGGAGTCCCATTTTGGCCCCAGGCGCTTTGCACCCAGTCCTTTGGCCTGAGTTAAAAGCTGGCTTGTTTCCAGGTCCAGCTGCGCTGCTTTGATGCTCCCGCAGAGTGTGCCTGGGTTAGGGGGTGCTTCAGTTGGCACTGCCAACCCCTCTCCCCAGTCTGGCAAGGCCTGGTGTGAAGTCTGCACAGCTGGCTTTCCAGGCTCACCCTAGGAGGAGGGTCATTGCAGGGTGCTTCTGTGGCAACCCAAGAGATCATTGCCCAAGGCACGGGTCCCCCAAAGGTCATCTAGTCCAACCCCCTGCAAGGCAGGAATCTCAGCTAAAGCATCCCTGGCAGGGGGCCATGCCATGTTGTGACAGAAGTCCTGCAAACTTTTAACACGGAGCAAGCATTACCCTCAGCAGCGCCTGGCGCCCAGCTATGCGCTTGCCTTCCTGCCTAGAGCAGCAGCGACTGTTCTGCCTCTCCTCCTTGTGGGCTTTGCCCGGGTGCGTTGCTGCCAAGCGTCGTGGGGGCAGTGAGCCGATTCTGCCCTTTCTCCTGCTGCAGGAAGGCGTGCCTGATTTGGTGACGGCAGATGACTCTGGAGCCTTGTGCGTCTGGTTTTCCGGAGAGAAGTTCACGCTGGCCAACAAGATCCCGGCTTCTGAGTAAGCGCAGAAAGAGAGGGGCCTGCTCTGGGTACAAGGATTTGGCCCTCCTGAAAGCAGTCAGCCCCGAGAGAGAGGGAAACAAAGCCTTGACCACTCTGGCCATGGGGGGGGTGGCTAATGGCCCTGAACGCAGCCCAGCCCTGCCCCACTCCGGGGCCTGAGCAGAAGCAGGCTGGCCCCAGCCTCTCCCCGTGGCCTGCCTTGCTCCAACCAGGCACCATTCCCAGTCCTGTCCAGAGGTGCCCCTGGGGGTCAAGCCTGGGGCCCCCTGCATGTCCAGCAGTTGCTCTTGCCCCCCCTGAGCAGCAGCAGCCTTCCCCCGGCACAGGAGCCTCACCCAATACCCACCCCACGCCCAGGTGCACCTGCTCCTCCGTCAAGCTGTGGAACGGCATCATCGCGGCTGGTTACGGCAATGGGCACATTCGCCTGTATGAGGCAGCAAGCGGGATCCTGCGAGCGGAAGTCCGCGCTCACGCCCGCTGGATCTATGCCCTGGACCTGGCGCCCCTCTCGGGGAAGGTGGGTCTGTCCTGCGTTTGAGGAAGTTGGGGTTTCTCAGGAGAGGGGAATGGTGGGGCAGGGCAGAGCCTCGCAGGTGCAGTAGATCGGGCAGAGTGAGCCAGGCTCCATCGCATGCAAAAGGCGTCCTCTGACTGGGCCACTGACATGCCAGGTTTGGGCAGGAGTGAGCCTGCACCAGTGGAACTCCTTGCCACAGGATATAGCAAAGACTAACAGTTCAGTGGCTTAATGAGGGATCTGTACGACCTGTGCCAAGGGGCTAGGAGCTCTGGTGGCAATATTTCAGAGAGAGGCTCTCTCCAGCGCTGCTCCCACCAGGAGGTGCCTGCTTGCCTGCTCTTGGCTGGGCTTCTGCTCCCTCTGCCTGGCACTGGCCACCCTTTCCACGCGCTCTCGGTCACTCCTAAGGGAGCTTTCCCTCCCCCCAGTAGAGCTGCCCCAGGCCCAAGCCAGGGGGGTGTTTTTGGGTTGTTGTTTATATTTTGAATATATATATATATATATTGAGGTTTTTTATGTTGATCTTTTCTGTGAACCGCCCTGAGACCTCCAGGTATAGGGCAGTATATAAATTCAGTAAACAATAATCAATGAAGGGAGGTCCCAGCCCCACTGATGACTCCTCTCCCTACACAGCTCCTGTCGGTAGCAGAGGACTCCTTTGTGCAAGTCTGGAAACTGAGCCCCAGCCCTGACTCTGAGGGCATTGAGGTGAGGCTGGCTTGCCTGGTTGGGTGGCCGTCTGTCATGGATGCTTTAGCCAAGATTCCTGCATTTCAGGGGGTTGGACTAGATGACCCTTGGCTCCCTTCCAGCTCTTTAAATTCTCAGATTCCTCCAGGCACTTCTGCCAGGCACCCCCAGCCTCCTCCCAGGGGCATATCTCCTCTTGCTTGCCCACCCCACACTCTGCCCCGGCCATGGACCCCACTTGCCCCCTTGATTGTGTTCAGTGGGGACTCTCCTCCACTGGATGTGGCTCCTGGGCTCAGCTGGGGGCTCGCCCATGCAACCCGCTTCCTCCTCCTGGGCCTGTGAGTTGGAGCTTGGCGGAAACAGGAGCACCCACACTGACGATGGGGGGGGGGGGCTGGCATTGTTCCCAAGCAGAGTTGCAGACCTTTCTGATTCGGCCAGTGGCTCTGCCTCTGTGTTCTCACAGAATCATAACCTTGACTCCCAGGACGTTTCCGAGCACAATTCAAAGTGTTGGTGCGGACCTTGAAAGCCCTAAATGGCCTCGGTCCAGTAGACCTGAAGGAGCGTCTCCACCCCAATGACTCAGCCTGGACACTGAGGTCCAGCTCTGAGGCCCTTCTGGCGGTTCCCTCATTGCGAGAAGTGAGGCTACAGGGAACCAGGCAGAGGGCCTTCTTGGTGGTGGCACCTGCCCTGTGGAACGCCCTCCCACCAGATGTCAAAGAGATAAACAACTACCTGACATTTAGAAGACATCTGAAGCCATCCCTGTTTAGGGAAGTTTTTAATATTTAATGCTGTATTGTTTTTAACACTCAATTGGGAGCCGCCCAGAGTGGCTGGGGAAACTCAGCCAGATGGGCGGGGTATAAATAAATTATTATTATTATTATTATTATTATTATTATTATTATTATTATTATTATAGAGTTGGAAAGGACCCCCCCGGGCCATCTAGTCCAACCCCCTGCCATCCAGGAACATTCCCTCCTAGGAACACAGGGTTGCCTTATACTGAGCCAGCCTATCAGTCTACCATCCATAGCTGTCAATCTTCCCTTTTTTGCGGGAAATACCCTTATTCCAGCGCTGCTTCCTGCTGCTATCCCGGATTGTTAGATATCCCGTAGGCTGTCCCTGGGACAGGTGAGGCTGCCCTTATTTTCAAAGCTGAAAGTTGACAGCTATGCTACCACCTGGCTTGAGAGCAGTACATGTGAAAAGGATCTAGGAGTCTTGGTTGACCACAAACTTGACATGAGCCAACAGTGTGACGCGGCAGCTAAAAAAGCCAATGCAATTCTGGGCTGCATCAATAGGAGTATAGCATCTAGATCAAGGGAAGTAATAGTGCCACTGTATTCTGCTCTGGTCAGACCTCACCTGGAGTACTGTGTCCAGTTCTGGGCACCACAGTTCAAGAAGGACACTGACAAACTGGAACGTGTCCAGAGGAGGGCAACCAAAATGGTCAAAGGCCTGGAAACGATGCCTTATGAGGAACGGCTAAGGGAGCTGGGCATGTTTAGCCTGGAGAAGAGGAGGTTAAGGGGTGATATGATAGCCATGTTCAAATAGATAAAAGGATGTCACCTAGAGGAGGGAGAAAGGTTGTTTTCTGCTGCTCCAGAGAAGCGGACACGGAGCAATGGATCCAAACTACAAGAAAGAAGATTCCACCTAAACATTAGGAAGAACTTCCTGACAGTAAGAGCTGTTTGACAGTGGAATTTGCTGCCAAGGAGTGTGGTGGAGTCTCCTTCTTTGGAGGTCTTTAAGCAGAGGCTTGACAACCATATGTCAGGAGTGCTCTGATGGCGTTTCCTGCTTGGCAGGGGGTTGGACTCGATGGCCCTTGTGGTCTCTTCCAACTCTATGATTCTATGATTCTACCATCCCTAGTGCTGTCAACACTGGCTTGCAGCAGCCCTTTAGGATTTCAGTCAAGCCTGCCTGCGAGATGCCATTTGAGATTGAATCGGAGACCTTCTACCATGCAGAACAGCCTTTCTGCCCCTGAGCTTTAGCCCTTCCCATGGCAGCCCAACATTCCCCCATAAAAATATAACATGGTGCTTCCTCCCCCATCTGTTTCCAAACGAACTGCAGAGCCTTGAAGCAACATTCTCGTTTGCTTTAAGCTGAGCAGCAGGTCTAGAGGGCAGAGGATGGAGGCTGCAGGAGCCCAGGGCCTCCCAAGGGCAACGAGGGGAGAGGAGGAGGAGGAGGATGAAAGGGATTTGGGTGGCTTATTTCCCCCCCCCCCCATGCCCCAGTCAGAAGTGGAAGAGTTGCAGCAAGCCCACTGCTCTCTTCCTGGCCCTGCCAGAGGATGGGGATCAGGGAGTTCCTCTAGGGTGGATACCCAGAATGACATGGTGCCCCCCATCTCTCCCCAGATTCAGCACTGCCACGCGGAATGTGTGACGGACACCATGATCTGCGGCGCCCGTTTCTGCAACCCCGAGGGCAGTGCCTTTGCAGTCACCGGCTTCGAGCTCAGCGAGATAATCCACTATGTCCTGGTGTAGCCCTTCCTGGCCGCAGGAGAGGGGACCATCTGGAGGCAGGCCTGGGGGTGGGACGGATAAAACAGAGGCTCTCTGAGCATCCTGCAGAGGGGGCTCAGGGAACAGGCATCAGGGGCCCAACTTGCCTCCCCCTTTTAGGGCCACAGCCCCCAAAACGCTCCCTTCCACTGTCTGCACTCCAGGGAAGGCAGGGAGCACAAATCCTCATGTGACCCCCCCCCCATTGCTTTCACCGTCATGCTATTCAAAGCCCCAAGGAGCTGATGTCTCTGCCTTGCCCCCCCCCCCTTATTCTGGCTCCAGAACCAGGGACACAACCGTCCTTACCCAGCGGATGGGGGAGAAGAGGCGAGAATATTTCCCAGGGCCTCACACTCACAGACCCAAAGAACTTGGGGGGGTGGGGTGGAGAGAAGTAACTGCCCAGGCACTGAGAAATGGGTGCAGGCTGGAAGAATGATTGCTTCCCCCACCTGCCCCCCCCATATCTTAGTAATATATCCTCCTCCTCCTCCTATTAGAAAGGCCCTTGTCAAGGGCGGTGCTTGGCTCCAACCAGGCTGATAAAAGTTGGCAGCTGTCTCTGATGGAAGTGGGCTCCCATTGCCCAGACCCACGGACGGGGTGCTGGGATCCAGGCTGAAGTGGCGCTTGGCCCGGAGGGGGCACAGTTCTGAAAGGACGGCCAGTTGCAGGCCTGCCTGCCCCCACCAGGCCTGGCCCTCCGACAGCTTCTCTCCCAGATACAAAGGGCCCAGTGCTGGTGGGAGACCCTGGCGTGCCCCCCACCCTGCAGCCGCCTCTTGCTTGGGGTGGGGGGCACTAGTTTTCCCAGCTGGGCCACAGCTCAGTCCTGCTGTTCTCTGCCTCCCACCAGGAGAGGCTCCACAGGAGGGTCAGCCTACCGGTGGCCACATTTATTTATTTTTCACATCTATTGCTGTAGCAAGAAATGGAAAGGAGAAGCTGAGCCGCAGTTCTTCAAACCAACCATGCGGGGGGCAGGGAGTCATATTAGGTTGTTTCTTGTGCCAGGGAAAGAAGATGAGCCCAGCACCAAGACCCTCTTGCACCCCAGTGACAGGACAGGACTAGTCCCCCCGCCTCCTGGCACTCTGATCACTAGCCAGCTGCCCAGCACCTTGCGGCAGGAGGGGGCAGGCCCCTGGCTCTCCCCAGGGTGCTGGACTCCACATCCCGCCCCAGTCCCTGACGGACTGGAGAGTGGCAGGTTCCCTGGCCCAAGAGCAGCGAGAAGCCCCCAGGAGGGTCTCCCGTGGGTGCAAGTCAGGTTGTGAATGTATTGTTGTTCACACGAGTTTTTTGTTCAGAGTTTTCGCCATTTTTGTCTACGAGCTGAACTGTGTTTTGCTAGATGAATAAAGATGTGAACTGCTAGCCACCAGCGTGGAAGCCTTTGTCTGGTTTTGGAAAGGGAAAATGCCTCTTGCTTCTTCGCCCCACGGCCACAGCGTGTGTGCATACGGCGGTCTCACAGCTTGTGCGATTGCAGCTTTGCATGGGAGGCAGGAAAACGAATGGATGGGGGAGTCAGAAAGGGCAATTTTGAGACCTCACACACTCTTCCCAGAGGCCTGTAAGTGAGGCAGAGGGTAAGGCCCACCCCAGACCCGTAGGGATGGTCATGCTGGGAGTGGTTGGGGGGTTTCGTGGCTGTGCCCCATTTGGCCTTTGCATGCGCATCCCCAGAACCAGACCCTGGCATAAGGTGCCAGCCCACTGGAGTGCGTGCCAAGTGCAGCGCAAGTCACAGCTCAGCCCTGGGCTTCCATGACTTTGGGCAGCTCTTCCTTTGCCCTGCTGCAAAATGGGAATGCATATAATGGCCAGAGAAAAAAACAGCCCCCTCCCGTGTCCGACATTGCTTTTGGCAGGATGACTGTTGCAGGAATTTATGTACCAGTTGGGGGGGGCTGCCCCTCCAGCAGATATCATGCACATGCAGCCCACTACCAAAATCAGCACAATCGCTTTTGTGACTTATGTGATTTGTCCCCACAAAACACTTCATCACAGTTTCTTCCTATCCATTCAAAGGGCCTCTGCTGCACGATACCAAATGTAAGAATTCACTGATCAATCTTCCTATGTACTGGCTCACAGGGAAAACTTCAGAAATTCCTATAGACATGTGAGCTCAGCTACTCAGCAGCCCCTCTGATGGCATCCTGATACCTGAGGGCCAGACAGGTAGCCATTCCAGAAATAACAAACCCAGATGAAGACAAAAAGGTGTGATGAACTTGGCTGGGAAACAGGGGAATGTAAATATCTCTTTTCTTACACTTGATGGGTGTTTGGTGGAGGGCAAGGGGAACCATGGGGCAGGGTCCAGGATGCTCAGATTACTTCCACCAGACCTCCCCTTTCATGATGTAACCGTGATGTATGAGTGATGTAGTTTGGGGGCTGTAACATGGGGATCAGCAGCTAATAAAAGTTTGGGGACTCTTTTGTTGGGGCTTCCATCTTGTTCCACCTTGTGGCAGGTGGGAGTCCTGTCACGACAGTCTTCAGTAAAGACCAAGCCTCCTGGCTGCTGTTTTGCTCTGGTCTTCCTGGCTGGTGTCCTTGCTTTTTGTCCAAGGGAGCCCTCAGATTTCTCCGTTAACATGGCCCTTCTGCCCTGTGGCTCCCTTAAGCAACATCGCTGCCTCTCGGGTTACAGTGGGGGGTCATCTAGGCTGGTCTTGCTGTTCCGCTTCCTCAGGGGAGAGACTGGGGGAAGGAGCCGCTCTTCCAGGGACTCCCCCTGCCCAAGGTGACCTCCTCCTGTGGTCAAAGGGGACCAAGGGCACTTCCCTCTTTGCTGCACAGAACAGCACCGAAGAGCCTCTGGGCCAAACTCCAAGGGCAGCTTGTGTGCAAGTGGAGGAATGCCAACTTTGGCAGAGTGTTGCAACAGCGTGCAGGGCTGGAAGCAGCCAGGCCAGCTATAAACAGGCTCCGATCACATTTCTCCCTGCACAGGCGTTTGGGCAACCCCCCCTCCTCCTATAGGACTCTTCTAGAAGTGGCCAGGACCTTGCCCTGCTCATGGCAGCAAAGGATTCCTGCAAACCAAGTGGCCTCTCGCCTCTGCCCACATCAAGGGGCCTGTGGGGTGTGGAGGGAGCTGCTTGGAGGAGCCTTTGGGAAGGGGCTCCTCTCTGGGCTGTTCTACAGCTCCAGCCCAAGCCCCCCAGGGCCAGAAGGCAGCTGCAGGCCCTGGAAGAAGAGGCGGCTTGCCAAGGGAAGTCAGGTGCTCCGTGGAGCAACGCACTCATGACTTCAGCCCCAGCCAAGATTTCTCTCTTCCCTCTGCCACTGAGCCTGAAGGGCTTCTGGAGAAGGGAAAAGGCAAAGACCCTGCTCCCTAGAAAAATTGGGTAATGCAGACGGGCAAATCACCCACGGGGGTTGACTCCCCTCTGCATGCCCTTTCACACAAAAAGAGCTGTGCTGAATCAGAACTGCAGATTTGGAAGGGACCCCAGTGGTCATCCAGTCCAGCCCCCTGCAAGGCACCCAGCATCCTGGTCTCCCAAACAAGCAGGGGTTCAGCCACTCATGCCGCTATGCGCACAAAGAACATCCTCTCTCCTCTCCTGCAGTTTCCAGCAGGTGATATTCAGAAGCTTGGCTGCCTCCAGCCGCCAACAGACCTCTTCCCCTTTGTAGAACCATCCAGGTCGCCTGCCTCCTACAGGCAGGAGTTCCACAGTTCCTTTCATCCGTCCTGACTCTCCCAGCCTTTGGCTTCCTTGGATGGTCTTCTGAGAGAGGGAGAAAAACCTTCCTGCCTCCATTTTCCAAACAAGCGTGCGGAGGGGAAGAGGGAAGCAGGAATGGCTGCAGGGGGAGATGTGTTAGAATTCCTGCTCCATGATTGCAGTCATGGGATTGTTGTCTTTCACATGACGGTGTATGTTTTGACTCCACTGAGTGGGAAGTGACAGATACAGGATGTTTGTGTTACTGTGTTCCTTGAAGTGGGACTATTGTCCTTTGTTCTTTTTCTCTTTGCAGTCTGATGCTAGAGAGAGAGGGAGCCATGTTGCAGGGCTCCATGTGTGTTTATATGTAAATAAAGTAGATTAGCCAAAATGCTGAGTTGCTGAGGTCTGTCACGGAAGTTGTGAAGACTATGCAGATCCCTAAGTGTGCCGGTGTCGGTTGGCATCGGTCGCTGTGATGTTCGGGCTGAAGAAAGCTTTTGAAGCTCCCGAACGATCAACCAGGAGGGAGAGAACACGCCAGTTGGGCATGTGTCTGTGCCAAGGTCCTACTCGAGTGTAGGCTGAAACACACCCCCCCCACTGCTTCCTGCTCCTCTCAAACATGGCAGAGCTTCATAGCCTTGAGGGGCAGCCTCACTGCATGGCTCTTAAGAGAGATGGAAGACCCCCCCCCCAGCCACCCCCTGCTGCAAAGGCCTCTCTTCACCTGCCTCCCCTCCAGCAGCTGGAAAGGCACCCAAGGGCCATCTAGTTCAACCCCCTGCCATGCAGGAATCCCTGACAGATGGCAATCCGCCCTCTGCTTAGAAACCTCCGAGGAAGGAGAGGCCGCCACCTTCCTTCCTGATGTGTCATCGGAATCCCCTTGTAAGTTTTAAGCCAAAGCTTTCCAAACTTTTCATGTTGGCGACACACTTTTCAGACTGGCATTGTTTTGCAATACAGTGGTACCTCTGGTTGCATTCCGGAGGCCCGTTTGCAACCTGAAAAGAACGCAACCCACTTCTGCGCACGTGTGGGTCGCAATTCTACAGCCTGGATAGGGAAGTTTTTAACGTTTGATGTTTTGCACACTCAGATGGGCAGGGCACAAACATTAAATATTGTTATTAGGCGAGGGTTTCTTTGTCCGTACAGCTGGAAGGCTCTTTGGGCCAGAAGGAGCAACTGTCAAACGTAATAAATAATGCCACGGCAGCCCTCTCTCGCAGGAGCACGATACAAAAGGCTTTTATTAAAAGGTTAAAACAGTCCAATACTGAAGTGTGTAAGAAAGGTTGCAGCGGCAAGGCTCAGCTCACAGTGGTTAGAGACGCAGATGCAGCCCGGGCCGCAAAGGACCCCCCTGCATCGCCAAAGCCCTTCTGTATGGTGAGTGCCAGAGGCTGCCCCACCCTGGGTTAGGTTTGTGCTTGGCCGAGGTTCGGGGAGAAAGGGGGGGGGGAAAGGAACACGTAGAAAAAAGTATAAAAAACCTTGGTTGTGCAGGTTTGCCGGGTGGCGATGGGCTGGCAGCCCCTCTGACCACAGCCCTCCCTAAATGCACCAAGCTGGACAGGCAAAGGGGGGAGGCAGTTGCAACCTCACCCCCCCAGTCCAGAGAAGAGGCTCGCGTTGTGTCCAAGGCACCGGCCTGGGGAGGGGTCCAATGCTCCCCCCGCCCGCATCCCCCCACCCAGCAGAACAAGCACAGACAGGAAGCAGCTCCTACAACTAGAAGAATCTCTACCCCCCATTACACCCCACGCAGGGCCCACGGCTCCTGCCACCCCCTCATGCACCCCTCCCTCCTATGCAAATCTCCCACCCCCCACTATTCCCTCCCCTCTCAACCTACAGCCACGCGGCTCAGAGACCCCCAACACAACAACACCCTGCCCCCAAACCCCGGGTCCAGCCGGCCCCGTGTGGGCTGGGTCCAGACCAACCCCGATTCGTAGCAGCTCCGCACCCCCTCCTCCTGCACCCCCAAACCTCCCCACCGCCCCCAGAATACTGCAAAGGTCAGAGGTAGCGACTGGAGAGGCAGCTGGTTAGGGGCCCGCCTGCTCTGTGGGGCAGGGCAGAGGGCGTAAACACGAGAGAGAAAGGCATGGCAGCCGTGGCAAGAGGCACAGAGCTGGCAGGAAGGCTGGGGGGGGGGTTGTAAACAAGGCAGAGGCCCTCCCCTCTCGGCCGAGGTCCCCTGGGAGCCCGGTGGGGGTGGGGAGGGGGCTCAGGAGACGGGGCTGGTGTGCTGGGGGCGCCAGAAGCACCACTTGCGCCGCGGGTGCTGTTTCTGAAGCATCTCCTCCTCCAGCTGGCGCTCTCTCTGCAGGCGCAGGTAGCGGTCCTCCTCCTTCAGGTACCAGATCGGGGGCCAGCGGTGGCGCTCAAAGTGGGCCTGGTTCTCTGGGGGGGGGGGGGAGACAGGGAGATGGGGCTGTTAGGATAGAGTTCCGTTCCACCTTAAAAGGGTACAGGCAGGACTCTTGTGTGTCACATGCCTGTTTACATTTCCAGCACAGTCTGCTGGAAACTTCCGTTTTGTATATTGTTTTTGCATTGCTGCTGTTTTGCTGGAGACAAAGGGAAGCAGACATGTTTTCCCCTTTGTACCTGCTGCTGAATAAAATGCTGTAAAATACAGAATTATTTTTGTATGCCACAGCTGCTGCTCGTATTTTGTTAGCTAAAAAGTGGAAAACCCAAGAATTACTAACAATAGAAGAATGGCAGATGAAGATGATGGATTTTTCGGAGCTAGCCGACCTTACCGGAAGAGTCCGCGACCAGAAGGAGGAGGAGTATCAGGAAGAATGGAATAAATTTAATGATTACTTAGCTTGCAGATACTTAACGGGCTTAGGATTTTATTTATGTTAAGTGATGAATTAATATGTTTAATTCTATAAGGTGAAGATTTAAGGATGTTAAAGTTTAAGTTAAATTTCATAAAAATTGGGATTTGGAAAACCGTTAAAAGGACATGCAAACAAATTCAACCAAGGGGAAGCGAGGAAGTCACTTAACAAAGTTAATACAGTGGTGCCTCGCAAGACGAAAATAGGTTTTTTCGTCTTGCGAAGCAACCCTATGAGCGGCTTAGCGGCTTAGCGCTATTAGCGGTTTAGCGGCTATTAAAGGCTTAGCGGCTAAAAGGCTATTAGAGGCTTAGCGGCTTAGAAAAAGGGGGGGGGAGCGGAAAAAATCACAAGTCTCGCAAGACGTTTTCGTCTTGCGAAGCAAGCCCATAGGGAAATTCGTCCTGCGAAGCGCATCGAAAAACAGAAAACCTTTTCGTCTAGCGGGTTTTTCGTCTTGCGAGGCATTCGTCTTGCGGGGCACCACTGTAACTGTAATTTTCAATAAGGCTATGATTTACGTTTGTTTTGTTTGTTTGTCTTGTGTGTTTGTTTGTTTATAATATTGTGAAAACCAATAAAAAAAAATTGGGGGGGGGAAATGCTATAAAATACACGGCTCTGTCTGCCTCTTCTGCTGTGAGAAGGTTTACACACTCTGCTGATAGAGTGTGCACAGATCTCTAAACATATCTGAGGCTCATGTCACCGATTGATGCTCTTCCAAGGGAGACAGGTGATCGTCCGGCTGCCGGCCGGTGGCTGGAGCCAGCTGGGGGCCTTGCCTGATGCCCCAGTCTCCCTGGCAGCATCCCAACAGGGGCATCCAACACAGACCCCGCCACCTCCGCAATTCAACACCCCCCAGAAGGGCAGTCCCAGCTCCACCTTCCCTCGTCTAGTGCCCCCCCCTTGCAATGCAGGAACCACAACTCCTGCCTCCTTGGGCAGAGGGCCGCCCCCCAGGCAGAGGAGCTGTGCCGCCCCCCAGGCAGCGGTTCCCCCGTGCCCAGGGGCCCTACCTGGAGACATGCACTTCATCTCGCGGGGGAAGCGGCGGCAGACGCTGTTGTAGTTGGTGCAGAGATAGTGAAGGCACCAGGCAGCCAGCTGGCGGGCGTTGTGGAACTGCGGGGGGAGGAGGGGGGCAACGGTGAGGGGCACAAAAGCACATGCACGGCCCCCACCCCATCTCCAAAGATCCCTGAAGCGACTCTGGGGGTCATCTGGCCCAACCCCCTTGGAAGGCAGGACTCTGCCCCATATGGGGATAGAACCCACAGCCTTGGAGCAGAAGACTCCAACCAACTGAGCTCTGTGTAATTTATTTCCTTCTTAAATTGCGGTGCCCAGAACCGGACACAGTGTTCCGACCGAGGAAGGAGAGCGCGGATCTGTGCCTTCCCTTGATCCGTCCACTATCTTGATTTTGAGAATGACTCCAAGCCACAAAATTCACCATGCCGGGGGGAGAGAGGTTTGCTCAGTGGCAGTGCCGTGAATGCAGAAGGCCCAGTCCTGGCAGCAAATACATCTGGGGGGGAGCAACTTCAGACACCCCATGTTCCCAGGGGCAGAATCTAGAAGCCCCCCAGGGCAGACACCTGTAGTGATCAGGTGGGATTGCTATGAGGAATTAGAAAAAATATGGAGGAAGCCATTTGTGTCAGCAATGGAAGCCTTGCGATGACTGGGTTTGAGCCATTTTGATGAGATTTCTGATCAATCCACGCCTCTGCATCCCTGTCCTATTTCTCTTGCTTGACACGTACACAGCCCAGCTGCCAGTTGCTTCCTCAGGCATCCTCAGTACATAAAGATAGTCGGTTACCTTGATGTAGTTTAATCTTTAGACAGATCTTAGGGGCCATGAAGAGAGTTCACAAGGAGATGGTGAATACTCTTTCCTTGCCATCCTTCCGCCCTCTCCTGTTTACTCCTGTTTATGACCTTCCTAAAAGCATTCCTCTTTGCTTCCTGAATTGCATATGCATGCTCAAGTAGGAAATTAGCTTTTTGTAGTTTTAACTTTAACTTTGTCCCCATGTGGGGTTTTTTGAAATGCTCAGAGGAAATCTGATTGGTTCTTACGAACACTGTGTAAAGTGTTCATAAGAACCAATCAGATTTTGTGAATAAAACGACCTTGGCCGGAGGGTGGACAGGAATTATTATTATACGCACTCCTCCCAGAGTCTTGCTGGTTCAAGCCTCTGTGTGTATTCTTATTATCAGAGTCCAATCCTTCCTTTACTTTGGGAACGCCTCAGACACCCACCCCCAGGGCTCCACCCCGCAAAGGCTGGGTCTCGTTCCATCTTCACTGCAGCTGCGTCCGCTAAAAGGCTTCCGCTCTCCAGACAGGGACGCTGGGAGCTGGCAGAACCTCAGCTGCCCCCCCCCCCCAAGCGGATTGGCAACTTCCAATCTGTTATTTAAAAAACATGCAGAGTTGAAAAAAAATCTCATAAATTGTGTGTTGCGAACGGCTCGGAGGACCCTGCAAAAATTCTGCATCTCCTTTGGTTGAATTTATCTTCTTTGCAGCTAACAGCTGCGATCTCTTTCGGGTCCCTTCCAATTCTACACTTCTGGGGTTTCAAATACGGAGACAGGATTCTGCCTCCGTAACACAACATGACATTTGATTTTTCCTAATGGCCTCAAGAACTTTTCCAGCCTAACATTGCGCTGTTTTCCCCCCCAGGGGGAGAGTTCTGTTAATTCTGTTGTATTCATTTGTTTAATTAGTTCAATAACAACAACAACAACAACAGCAACAATAATTAGCGAGGGAGCCTGTGGGGCCGATGAATACCTGCGTCATCTCCAGGTAGAGGATGACCTGGGCATCAATCTCCACCTTCTGCAGGCTGGCATGGACCAGTTCATCCACTGCGTACTGCTCTGGGGAGAAGACCAGGAAAGGGCCTCAGACTGGGAGGGGCATCCTCACCCCCGAGAAAACCCAGGAATGCACTCTGTGTGCGCTCAGGGGCCCCACTGCCGCTCCCCAGAACCCACCCAGGGGTCAAAAGAGAGCACATTATCCCCGTGAAAAAGTCCCTGCACTCCTCTCTTCCCTGCTGCCCCAGGAATGCACTCTGTGTGTGCTCAGGAGCTCCACTGCCGCTTGCCAGAACCCAGACAGGGCAAGCAAGAAAGAGGCCCCTGCTTCCATTTCCTCTCTTCCCCACCCCCAGTGCTGCTTCCCGAGAGGTTAATGGTCCCCCACCCTCCCGCTGCTGGCCAGCCATCCAGGCTCGGGGACTCATTGATCCCAGGGACGCTGCGTCCCCAACCAACAGCCTCATTATCTTATCGGCAGCTTACATAAGCGGCCTCCAGGCAGGAGGCAGCAGCGGCCAGATGGGTGAGCGGGGGGGGGGGAGCCCCTCCTCCTCCCCCCCCCACATCCGGGTCCAGCCCAGCCAAGGACTCACCGGTCAGGGCCTGCAGGCGGGTCAGGCAAAGGCGGTTGGTCAACACCAGCAGCTCCATGGCGTCCAGGTCTGGCGTGGGGACAAAGAGGCCCGTGTAGAGGAACTCCAGCACGGCCCGCAGGCAGGCGCAGTTGGTGCCCGGCAAGGCGACCTGGGGGGGGGGGGCAGAAGGGTCTCTGGAGGAGCTGCCTTCGCCTGGCCCCCTACCCTCCGGCTTTGGGCCTTCTGCCCATAGATCTCAAGCAGGCGCCTTCGCCATGCAAGACCAGCTCTGCATTTATAAGAACTGGACGGGTGGCACCCGGAACTCCTTGCCACTTGAGATCAAGCAGGTGCCTCCAGGGCCAAACATTCTGGTTTGGAAGACAAGCCTGCCCAGAGGCCGAGAGAGAGTCCCTGTGAGATGTCACGCTTTTCGCCTGTCGCTAATTTAGCTTTGCAAAAGCCTCACTTTATTGTTGCACCTTTTTTGCAAACCGCTTTGAGGTTTGCTTTTCCGTTTCGTTTTACAATCAGGCGGTGCATAAACTTCAGGAAATAAAAATAATGACTCCTCTGCTCTCCTCTTGTCCCCAGTCCTGGGGGCTCCTGGGCAAAGTCACGCAACCCCCACCAACCCAACGCTTTTCCTCGCTGCCCCCCAGTCGCCCCCTCCAAACCTCCCCACCCGGCCCTCCAGCTCCTCCTTGGACTTGGGAGATTTCTTTCTGGAAGGACGGAAGCTGCTTCCGCCAGCAACCCAGAAAGAGCACCCTCTGCACATGCTCAGAGGCACTTGCCTTGCTACTTTAGTTAGCCGGGGAGAGAGGCTGAACCCCCCCTCCCCAAAGGGGAACAAAAGAGCCTCAGAAGCCCAGACAAGACGGAAGCAAGACCAATTTGGGCAGGCCGGGGGGAGGCCAGGGTGGCGCCAGAAGAGCCTTGGCTGCCACCCCAGCCCCTCGTGAGCCCCGTGACCCTTTCTTTTCGTGATGCCCGATTTATCTCTGGCCCTGGCAGCTCCTGGCTGGGGGAGCACATTCCAGCAGCCAGCTGGTTTTCCTGCTGCCAAAGGGGTCGGGCGCGGGAGGGAAAGAAGCCTGGGCTCAGCTTGAGGGTCTCAGAGCACGGGGTGGGGGTCAGGACTCGCCCCACCAACACCACCTTTGCCATGCAGAGAGAAGGCGGGTGCCTGGCAATGGGCGCACACTTGGTCGGAAGCCTGACCCACGTCAGCAGCCCATGCCGTTGACCTGCCAGGCCTCTTGGCTCAGCTGCCAGGACAGCCACCCCCAGCCCAGGGCTTCACACGATGCCAGTGGCAAGAAAAGATATACCGTGTTTTTCGCTCCATGAGACGCACTTTTTTCTTCCTGAAAATTAAGGGGAAATGTCTGTGCGTCTTATGGAGTGAATGTGTGGTCCCTGGAGCCGAATTGCCCAGGGGAGAAAAACAGATCGTGCTTTTTTTTTTTTTTTTTGGAAAGAGGAAAGTGGGTGTTGAAACAAAGCTGCTGATCGTTTGCCAATCGGGGAGAGAGAAAAGGGATGCTAGAGATAAAGGAGGCTGCCTGGGAGGGGGGAGGTAAAAGCCCTTGCATCCTCAGGATTTTTGCACTGGGTCACCCCAAATTCACCATCAGATCACATAGCATGTCCAGGGCTACAGCCTGCACCCAAAAAATCACGCACCCACTGTTTTGTGGGGCCGCAATGGCGCAAAAACAAAGCACGGATCCACATGGATTTTTGCATTGGGTCACCCCAAAGTCACCGTCAGATCACATGTCTGTGGCCACAGCAGGAACCACAAAAATCATACATCCACTGTTTCGTTCAGAATTTTTTTTCCTTGTTTTCCTCCTCTAAAAACTAGGTGCGTCTTATGGTCAGGTGCATCTTATGGGGCGAAAAATACGGTATTTTCATGTGCAGTGACTCCAGCTGCCCCAGGAAACACAAGGCACCAAAAGGAGGGAGTTTTGCACCAGCTCAGGCCACAGAAGTGCATTCACACCCTGGCTTTCAGGCACCTGCGTGGGGCTAGCTCTGGCAAGGCGACAGGGCAAGACTTGCACCTTCCGGAAGGTGCCCCCCCAACCTTTAGCCATTCCAGCCACAGGAGAGCCGAGAGACAGAGCTCACTGCATCTGCTCAGGTGCAAGAGGGCAGCTTTCTCTGGCTCTTCCTGCCCCCAGAACCGTGGCAGCTGGTCATTCGGGGCACAAGGCGCTCCGTGTGGGCTGGATCTGGAAGCCGCAGTCTGGGCAGGCTGCTGCAGAGCAATTGCTGGCTGGAGCCACGCCAGGGCACTGTGGGGCACCTGTGCACAGAGATCTGCCCGCCTTGCCAATCGGCTTCCCGGCCAAGTTCAAAGTGTTAATCTTAGCATATAAAGGAAGCCTGGGACCAGGGAGATCGCCTTTCCCCACATCTGTCCACTTAGATCTGTGGGACTGGCACTTGTACAGGTGCCACACAATATCCCCACCGCATCTGGGAGAACAGTTAGTGTGGCAACACAAACTCTCTGGAGGCTCCCGGCCTGTTGATATCAGGCTTTGCTTTCGGCTTATTCAGACCAGCCTACCCAGATGCTTAGAAAGTTTGCAAGAGTTTCAGTTGGTTTCTGTCTATTCTAGTCTGGTTTTAACTGTCTGCATATTTATGGCCGTCAATCTTTTAGTGATAATTTTATTGTTTTAAGCTTATTGTAAAACACTTATCCTTCCCCCCCCCCAAATCAAGCAGCATGTAAGTTTCCAGAGATAAAATAAACAAGCTGTTTAGAAGTTGTGGTTTTCCTCTTCCCTCCCTGCTCCTTCCTCTTTGTGTGCTGTGTCTCACTGGTTATCAGCCAGCAGGGCTGATAATAAAATACCAAAAAATGGCCTCCGAAATCCCCCACCCCAAGGATGCCCAGCCAGCGACATCCCTGAAGGCTCAAACTCCCACCCCAAGAGGGGCCCCCTTTCCAGGCCCCCCCCCCGCTGCCCCCCACTCCTCACCTCCGCAGCGCAGCTCTCCCGGAAGGTGCTCCCAAACATGGCGACCATGAAGTCGCAGCCGGCCAGGAGAAGGGGCTTGTGGGCTGGCACCAACCCGTCGTCGACCACAAAGATGACATCTGGCAGGGAAGAGGAAGCGGGCCGTCAGGGGGGGCTTCCTCTCAGAGAGCTGGATGCAGGAGTCACGGCTAAAGAACCCCCTGGCAGGTGGTCCCCCAACCTGGGCTGAGAAACCTCCAACGAAGGAAAGTCCATCTCCCCGGGGAGTCTGTTCCCCAGTCACCCAGCTCTGATCCTCAAAAGGGTCTTCCTAACATTTGATCGGACACTGCTTCAGATCTTCGACGGTGGCTCGCTGCCCCATCTGCCCTGGGACCAGCGCCAGATTTAGGTATAAGCTAAACAGGCTATAGCTTAGAGCCCCACTCTCTTGGGGACCCCCAAAAAATTTAAAGGGGAAAAAACTGGATGTACATTTCCAAAATAGAAGATAAAAAATAAAATAAAACCTACATACAGCAGCAGTGTTTTGTGTTGTGTCGGCTCCTGTGATGTAAGTCATGGGCCCCGCCTGCTAGCCTGCTCCCTAAAATATCACTGGTTCATAATTGTATTTCACTTCAATAATCACTACATATTTTGTTATATGCAAATAGCTTTAAATACTTATTAGGTCCATAAATTACCATATAGCATCTATTCAACACAAAAATCAGCAACAATTTGTTGTTGACAAAGGACAGCTGGACATAGAAAGGGCCCCGTTACCTTCAGGAGCTGAGGGCCACATCAAACCTCAATACGGCCCTGCCTGCGACAGCCCTTCGTGGCTGTCACATGACTTCCCAGTGTCGGGGTTGGACTGGATGACCCTGGGGTCCCACTCCACAATCCTGCAATTCTCTTCTCTCCAGCCGCTCCTCCCCGGAAACTTGCCCCCCTTCCCCTCCTCCCTTCCTGCCCAGCTGAGCCCCCCCCCGACCGCCCCCCTCCGCCCCCTCCCCTACCTGCAAAGGTGCCCTTGGTCAGGCACTCCTTGATCCGGTTGGCGCGCCGGACGTGGAAGGCCTTGCTGATCTCCTCGTTCATGAAGCTCTCCTTGTTGAGGATGTTGGCCACCATCATGCGCAGGTCAAAGACCTCCAGCAGCTCAGCGATGGCCGCCACCTGCATCAGGTCGGCCCCGTGTTGCTCCAGCCGCCCCATGTACAGGTATTCCAGCACCGCCAGGAAAGGCCCCGCCTGCACCAGCCCGTCCAGGTAGACGGCCACCATGGGCTTCTCGCGATGCGTCACAGGGTCGCGCACCGCCTCCTGGCGCATGCTGACGAAGCCCCGGCCCCAGCCCGCCAGCGCCCGCGGCGCCCGCCCCAAGCGCAGGGGTCGTCGCTCTGCGAGGCCCGGAGAGAAGCTGCCGCCGCCGCGGCCGCTGAGCCACACTGGATGTCGGCATCCAAGCTCCTAGTCCTCACCGCCGGTTCCTTGGCGCCCGCGGCTCGGGAGAGTCCAGCGCAAAGAGGTCGTAGAATTTGGAGCAGGACGTGGCCAGGTAGACTCGGTGGGCAAAGACCCGGTGGCCCCCCTGCAGGCAGAAGACCACGTCGGCGCACAGCGGCTGGCGGAAGAGGGCGTCGGGGCCCCTGCCCTCTCCGGGCGCCGGCTCCGGGATGCGGATGACGGGCGGGGGCGGCTTGGGGGGCAGGAAGGGGGCCTGCAGCAGGGGCCGCTGCACCTTCTTCAGGTGGGACTTCCAGAACTGCAGGTGGCGGCGAGAGATGAGGGCGGCGCGGATGGCGTTGTCAAAGACGTCCTTGATGCCAAACTGAGCCACCATGCTGGTCTCGTAGTAGGGGATGCCCAGCTCCTTCGCCACCTCGTGCCCACACTCGGGGGGAAGGATGTCCGACGGTTTAATGGGCCTGGGGGGCGAGGAGAGGAAAGGGCAGGGGGGTCAGGGCAAAAGGATGCCAGGCAGAGCCTCTCCGGGCTGAGACAGGGGAAGCACCAAATCATATTCAATTTTTGCATTACCAGGACACCTTTTTCCTCCAAGGGGGTGCGCATGGTTCTCCCCCTCCCCATTTGTCCTCAGAGCAACCCCCACCCTGCAAGGCTGATGAGAGAGGCTGACTGCTCACAGACAGGCTATTCGGCTCAGCGGGGATTCGAACCCTGGTCTCCCAAGGCCTCGTCCAACTCTAACCGTCACCCTACACAATTATTCTAGGGGACAAGGCGGGATCAGGGGCAGGCCTACATTTCGGGGGCCCGGACGCTTGAACTGTCGTGGGGGCCCCTTCGCAACAAGGAACGAGGTCTGGGAAAACCTCGCCATCATCTTCAATGACAGACCTTTTAAAAGGAATGTAACTACCGCTTCTCAGATTTTGATTAAAACTGCTGTCCTGGATTATCTCACATGTGTGAGTAAAAGTTTCCTACGTCCCATAGTTTTCAAGTTATGGGGGCGGGGATGAAAATTAAGGAAACGTTATATATGTACAGTCATACTTTGGGTTTCAGACGCTTTAGGTTGTATTTTTTTCGGATTACGGACCCGTCAAAACACGGAAGTACTGGCATGGGTTACTTCTGGGATTCGGGGGTCGCGCATGCGCAGAAGCGCCAAATCGTGCTTTGCGCATGCGCAGAAGCGCCAAATCGCAACCGGCAAGTCTACTGTACATGCTGCACTTATTAAAGTAAAATTGTTAAGCAATGTGAACTACACACTTGTGGAATGAGTGGCTCTGAAGCTGAAACCTCCTTCGTTTCCTAGCAAACCCACCCCTGGGGGGCATCGCCCACCAGACCCCCAAGAACGGGCCTCTTGTTTGGCACACAGCCCCGAGAGCATCATGGGTGTGTGTGTGTGTCTTGGTGCCCCTACTTGGCCAGCGGTCGGCGAGCGCGGTTGACAGCCTCCAGGTCAGCATAGCGCAGGTCCAGCTGGCATCCGACCAGCACGATGGGGGTGCGCGGGCAGAAGTGCTTGATCTCGGGGTACCACATGCTGGTCACGTGTCGCAGGGAGTTGGGGTTGGCCAGGGAGAAGCACAGCACCACCACGTCCGACCTGCGGGGGGAGAAGGCAGGTGGGTGAAGCCCCACCACCGCTGGCACAGACTGGCACTCGGCCCATGAGGAAGAGGGTGGGATTTCTATTCCCAGAGCCCCATGATGTGGCGCAAGGGCCAGAGAGCCAGGACTCGGAAGGATCAAGGGCAGACAAGCGGTCAAGCCCGGTTGGCATAGCGCACATGGAGAAGCCAGGGTGCCCGCTTCCGGCTGATCGGGCAGGGAGATCTCCAAGAGAGAATCAGAGTTGGAAGGGATTGCAATGCAGGAATCCTTTGCCCAACGTGGGGCTCAGACCCACAGCCCTGAGATTCAGAGCCTCGTGCTCCACTAAGAGTGACAAGGCCAGGTGGCCCAGCCAACTTGCAGCTGCCAGCCTGAGCCAGGGAGCACCTGCTCTGCCAAAGGGGAGCCCAAGGGTGAAAATCCACAGAAAGTGGAGAAGGGGGTCTTTCTCTACACCTGGGGAAGTGAGAGGAGGCTCCTTGCGAGAAAGAGGCTGCAGTCTCCGGGGCAGATGTGAAATAGGAGATGGCCTCCCCCCCCCTTCAAGAATTTTGGAAGCCTCAGCAGCCAAGTTGTGAACGTGGAGAACGTGAGTGGGAGGCAGCAGGGCACCAGGCCGGGTTCCAGGGCCAGGAGAGGCCTGGCAGAGAGCAGGGAGGGGGGGTGAAACACCCAACCACACCCCCCCCAAGCCCAGCCCAGGAAGGCCAAAGGATAGCGCAACCCACCCGGAAGTGGAACGCATAGGACATGCGAAGGGAGGGGAGGGGGGCTTCCTCTCCAGGCCATCTGTCGGGGATGTTTTTGTTGCAATTCCTGCATTGCGTGGGGTTGGGATAGATGGCCTTTGGGGGTCTCTTCCAATTCCATGATTCCGTGCAAGAAATCACCACCACAGCCAGCCAGCCCCCTCGGACCCTTCCCCCAGAGGGCTGCAAGACACCCCTTTCTCAGCCCCCTGCCTGCCACCCCCAGGCTGCAAATCTTGCTGCTCATGCCTGGCTCCCCGTCCCCAGATGGGTGGGGGGAGAGAAAGAGAAGCCTCAGGGAGGGAGGGCGGGCGCCATGCCCAGGGACCCCCCTCTCTCTGGCCAAGCCCTCCTGCAAGGGAGACCGGCTGCAGCAGACCCAGCCTGGGACACGTGCCTGGCATGGTAAAGGTCCCAGGGGGGAGGAGGCGGGAAGCAGGCGGCCCTCTGTCTGGGCTCCACCTCCCGTGGGTCTCCCTCTCTCCTGCCCTCCTAGTGCCAGTGGGCACAGGCCCGTTCCCTCCCTCCCACCCACTCCAGATAAAGCTGCCCGCCGCTGCCAGCCAGAGTAGGAGGGACAAGGAATGGGGCAGGCTCTCTTACATTGGAGCTTTTGCTGCGACCCCTACATTGGGTGGGGTTGGTCTAGATGAGCTTTGGGGGTCCCTTCCAACTCCACCTGTCCCTGCCCACCTGGGGAGACTCACCTGCCGTAGGCGAAGCGCCGGTCCTTGTGGTGGTCCCCAAAGGTGTCCCAGAGTCGCAGGGAGATGCTGACCTCGTCCACCACGTCCCGCGAGCGCTCCAGCACCTAGGGGCGGGCATGGGGGGGCGACAGGTGGGTGGGGGGTCCATCACAAAGGAAGTGGCGGGAGGAAGAGAAGGGAAAGGGTCTCCCCGGCCCCCCCGGCCCGCCTCACCTCCTGGCACACGCGGTACTGGTCGATGGCCCAGACGGTGGGCACGTGGGTGGCCAGCAGCTGGTATTGGGTGAGGGTGGCATTGCAGGCCCTGGCGCAGATCAGGCGGGTCTTGCCCACGGCGTTGTCGCCCACCACCACGCACTTGATGGTCTCGACGTTGGGGCGCTCATAGTCCAGGTCCAGATCCATGGGGCTGCGGCTGAGGGGGGCAGAGGGGAGGGGGGCAGGCGGGTGCCCGTCAGGTGCAGCAGACCGGAGGACAAAGAGCCGCGCGGAGACGCCCTGTCCCGTCGGGAGGGGGTGGCGGGGTGATCGGGGGTCCTGGGGGCAGAAGGGGTGCGGCCAGCTCCCTCCACCCCCCAAAAAAAACCCCGGCGGTGGCGGGGGGGGCGTGGGGCGCTGATAGTCCAGGTCCAGATCCATGGGGCTGCAGCTGAGGAAGGCAGAGGGGTGGGGGGGCAGGCGGATGCCCGTCAGGTGCAGCAGCCCGGAGGACAAAGACAAAGACCCGGCGGAGGGGGGGGGATCGGGGGTCCCGGCGGCAGGAATAGGAGCCCAGCTCCCCCCCCCCAGAAAAGCCCATATCCATGGGGCAGCGGCTGAGAAGGGCAGGGGGCGTGCGGGTGCCCGTCAGGTGCAGCAGCCCGGAGGACAAAGACAAAGACCCGGCGGGGGGGGGGGGATCGGGGGTCCCGGCGGCGGGAAAGGGGGCAGCTCCCCCCCCAGAAAAGCCCCCCCCAGCCCCCGATCGCCGCCCCCCCCCGCTCACCGTCTCCGCCCGGCTGCGGCGGGTCTTCAGGGCCCCCCCCGGGTCGGAGGGCGAGGCGCGGCCCGTGGGGGGGCTGCCCGTGGGGGGGCGTCTCCTCCGGGGCCCCATCCCATCCCGGGCGCCGCTCTCCGCCCTTCTGGCCGCGCCCGCTTCCGACGCCCCTCAGCGCCGCGCCCGCCCCGCCCACGCCCCGCCCCCCGCCCCGCCCAGCCAATGGCCGCCCGGACAAAGGAGCCTCCGGCGCCGCGGCCACGCCCACCGCCCGCCCGCCACGTGCCGCTCCCGGCCCACGCCCCCGCCTCGCAGCCGCGTCAGCGCGGGAGGGAGGCGCGCTCTGTGCATGCTCTGCGGCACGCTCGCCCGCCCCCTGCTTCCTATTCTGATTCCTCTTACTTAATACCTATTGCTACTCTTACGAATTGCTATTAATTATTAGCAGTTAAATGGATGCGCCGCACTTCGCCTGAAGATCACAGGGCGAATTTGTTTTTTTGTTTTTTAAACCATTAATTGCACATTTATTTAAATTGGATGAACTTGATCCACTGACACCAGCCTTACACTATTTATTTTTTTAAAGGATTTTGCTGATTTACCAAAGTGTGCGCAATGTCTCTCTCTCGTATTTATTCTCTTTTTACAAATCCGTTTCCTATCCCAGGGCGGTTTGCGGCAAATTGGATGCCCGCGAATTCTTGACTTGCTACGGATGCTGCAAATGCGTTTATTTATTTGGGCGTTTATATCTCAAGGAGGGCTCCAGGGCTGCCGCCACAGCCCCCCTGCGAGGGAGGTGAGGCTGAGAGGGAGCCCCAAGGGGAACTTCATGGCTGAGGGGGGGATTCGAACCCGGGTCTCTTGCAGGCCCTACTCGGGCACTCGAACCCAGAGCTTTCCAAACGGTGTGTCGCGATGCCTTAGTGTGTCAGGGCACAAAAGGGGTTCATTTCCCCTCCGGTTTGCTAGTAAAACTGAATTACTGCATCGCGAAATGATGTGCGTCTAAAAAGCTTGTCACCACCAGGAAAAGTTTGGAAAGCTCTGCTCTAACCGCTAGGCCACACTGCCTTTGCATGCAGACAATCTCAGGCTCACAGGGCAGAGTGACTTGCTTGGCTTTCCTCTTCCCGCTGAAGCAACGTGGGGTTGAAATGATATTGCACCCTTTCTTTTTAATGCCAGTCTCAACTATGGGGCTGGGTGCCACCGTGCCCAGCTAGGCCACCCCCAGACCTCCTGGTCCTCGGCTTTGAGCCGCCTGGAGCGCTGCCTGCGTCTCTTTCAGTGGCCTCTGGAGCCCAGTGGGGCAGGGGATTCCCCGGGGGGGGGCTAAGGGGCAAGGGGGCAGCACAGGGGGGGCACCGGAGGTGGAAATGATCTGGCGTTGGAAAGCAGGTCTCACCAAATCAAAGCCATCCGTTTGGTTGAATTAATTACACTCCACCCTTTCAATTGGATTTTGAAGACATGTGCAATGAGTTGTCGCTGTTTGGCGTGTTCTTGTGTGTCTGTGCAAACCTCCCTTCTGAATAATGCTTTGTTCAGGGTGGGGGGCACTGGGATGGGTTTGTGGATCCAAGGGGGCAGGCGCCAAACTTCTCTGCGGAGGCCCAATGCCAAGACCCGTCTCTTCCTTGTTTTAATGTTGTATTTTCATCTTGTTTTTTAAGTAGTATTTCAATCAATTGTTTTCTATCTGGTGTTAGCCGCCCTGAGCCCGGTCTTGGCTGGGGAGGGCAGGGTATAAATTATTATTATTATTATTATTATTATTATTATTATTATTCCTCCCCAAGGAGCCCAAGGGAGGCTCTTTTCTCACTCCCCAGCCCCTCCTTGGCCTGCTGCGCTGAGCCGCCTCCTCCCAGTTTGGATTGCGTTGGCGCCCAGTGCGCTGTGACTCGGACTTTGCCTTCTCCCGGGCGTTGCCAGGATTCCTCCCTCGCTTCCTTGGCCTGCCAGGCTGCCCAGCTGCCTTGAGAGGGGCAGGGAAAGAAAGCTCCCTCCTTTGTTGTGCTCCGACCTGGATTGTGCATGCAAAATGGCGCTTGGTGCACCTGCTGGTGGGGTGTGTGTGTGTGTGTGTGTGTGTCCTGTCTCTGAGCGGGGGGGGGGGGGGAATCGCCCCGACCACCTGCCCCACTTCCTGCTTTGGGGTCTGGAAGCAGAGGGGCTGTGGGGAAAGGGAAGGGCAGAAAGGTTCTGCTTTATTTTCCGTGCCACAGCGCACTGCGCCCTCCTTTGCGGCACAGCGCTGCTGGGAGGCATTTGTGAGAAGCGGGGAGGCCCCGACCCACACTTCCCTGAGCCTTAGCAATGGGGCAGGCGATGGAGGAAGCCTTTGGGTGAGGCCTCTGGGCCCACTCCCCCCCCCCTTGCCCATGGGGCTGAAAGGCCCTTTTGCACCCGGCTGGCAAGATCTCTTTGTTCCGTCCGGCCCCACACAAGCGCAAGGGAGGGGGGGTGGCAGTTTGGGGAGAAGAAGGGGGGGAATGGTGGGGGGGGGAGCAGGGCCACTTTGCCGCCTGGAGCAGCAGTCCTGCCTGGTCAGCAGGAGAGTCTGCGGCAGGTTGGCAGGACAATGCAAAAGCTGCCAATCAGCACAACAGCTGCCCCCCCCTTGCCCATGGACTGGGTGCGCTGGGGAGGGGAGACCCAGCACTCTTGCATTGCTCAATATCAGGGGTGGGCAAAGCTTTTGTGGCGGAACCAGCGAAGGCGGTGAAGGTCCTGTGTGAGTGCCTGGAGGCGGTTGGAGGATGGATGGCGGCTAACAGATTGAGGTTGAATCCTGACAAGACAGAAGGACTGTTTTTGGGGGACAGGAGGCAGGTGGGTGTGGGGGACTCCCTGGTCCTGAATGGGGTCACTGGGCCCCTGAAGGACCAGGTGCGCAGCCTGGGAGTCATTTTGAACTCACAGCTGTCCATGGAGGTCAATTCTGTGTCCAGGGCAGCTGTCTCCCAGTTCCATCTGGTACGCAGGATGAGACCCTCCCTGCCCGCGGACTGTCTGGCCAGAGTGGTGCATGGTCTGGTTATCTCCCGCTTGGACTACTGCAATGCGCTGTATGTGGGGCTACCTGTGAAGGTGACCCGGAAACAACAACTAATCCAGAATGCGGCAGCCAGACTGGTGACTGGGAGCGGCCGCCGAGACCACATAACACCAGTCTTGAAAGACCTACACTGGCTCCCAGTTCGTTACTGAGCACAATTCAAAGTGTTGGTGCTGACCTTGAAAGCCCTAAACGGCCTCAAAGGCCCAGTATCCCTGAAGGAGCGTCTCCACCCCCATCGTTCTGCCCGGACACTGAGGTCCAGCACCGAGGGCTTTCTGGCAGTTCCCTCACTGCGAGAAGCAAAACTACAGGGAACCAGGCAGGGGGCCTTCTTAATAATAATTTATTATTTATACCCCGCCCATCTGGCTGGGCTTCCCCAGCCACTCTGGGTGGCTTCCAACCGAATATTAAAATACAGTAATCCATCAAACATTAAAAGCTTCCCTAAACAGGGCTGCCTTCAGATGTCAAGTCTGGTGGTTCTTCTTCTCTTTGACGTCTGGTGGGAGGGTGTTCCACAGGGCGGGTGCCACCACCGAGAAGGCCCTCTGCCTGGTTCCCTGTAACTTGGCTTCTCGCAGTGAGGGAACCGCCAGAAGGCCCACGGAGCTGGAAGAAAAAAGTGCATCTTATGGAGCGAAAAATACGGTACTTTGCCATATAATCCTGGGAATCCAGAAAGCGTAAAACAAGGATATGAGTCATTCCCAATTTATAATTACAAACAAGCCTCTTCCATATGTACCCAAAGTATGTATATGATCTCAGTGAGAGACATGAGCTTCCTTTTGCTGGGTAATCTCATTTCTATTCGGTCTAATTTGAGACAAGCAAGATCTCATCCCCCCATCGACACAAAGAAGCCTTTCTACCCATATTCTGCAAATAAATAAATAAATAAATCATTTTGACACTATACTATGCCGCCCTGAAATGCTCAAATGTTTGGAATGCAACAAGGTGGGAAACTGCAGCTTTTGGCAAAAGGTGAAGAGGAGCTTCTGTTTTTGTTTTTGTTTGTTTTTTTAAATAATTTTTTATTAAAGTTTAAAACAACATAAAACAAAAAAAACAGAAAAACTCACACAAAAAACAATACAAAACTTAACAATTGAAACACAAAACACAACAATTAAAAACAAACTCTCTTTTCCATTTCCAATTTTACATGACTTATTTTCTAGACTTCCTCAAACCTCCCTCCTTTGTATTCCAGTCCACATTATTTGTCCAGCAGTTTCTTTTCCACTTTTTTAATCCCAATCTTTAATTTAATAAAATGTTAAAATATATAACTTCAACTTTTTTAAACCTAGTCCTTGATCTTAATATCATATAACTTTAAAGTTTCCCCTTTTAAAATCAAATTTCCCTTTCTTTAAACTTCTTTAATCTTAATCTTTAATCTTAATCTATCCTTAACTTTAACCTGTGCAGCTGGAAACCACTTATTTTCAATCCAACATCACTCTAACATTCCTTAATTTTGCAGTGTTTCTGAAGATAGTCTTTGAATTTCTTCCAGTCTTCCTCCATCGACTCTTCTCCCTGGTCACGGATTCTGCCAGTCATTTCCGCCAATTCCATATAGTCCATAAGTTTCATCTGCCATTCCTCCAGCGTGGGAAGTTCTTGTGTCTTCCAATACTTTGCGATGAGTATTCTTGCTGCTGTTGTTGCGTACATAAAGAAAGTTCTATCCTTTTTTACCACCATTTGGCCGACTATGCCCAAGAGGAAGGCCTCTGGTTTCTTAGGGAAGGTATACTTAAATACCTTTTTTTAATTCATTATATATCATTTCCCAGAAAACCTTAATCTTTGGGCACGTCCACCAAAGGTGAAAAAATGTACCTTCAATTTCTTTACATTTCCAACATTTGTTATCGGGCAAGTGATAGATTTTCGCAAGCTTGACTGGGGTTATGTACCACCTGTATATCATTTTCATAATATTCTCTCTTAGGGCATTACAGTGAAGAGGAGCTTCTGAAGGCAGGATCTGCCCATCACTGGAAGAGCTGCTCCTCCCTGGGAAGCTGGTGAACCTGCCTTTGCTGGAGATGTCAACATAGCGGCTGGGCGGCTGCCTGCCTGGGATGGCCATGCAGCTGCTCTCCTGTATTGCAGATCCCGCTTTCAGCTTGGGGGGGGTGTTCACTAGATAATCTCAAAGTTTCCTCGGATTTGGAAGGCAGTGGACTCTCCTTCCTTGTAGCGTTCCCAAAGCAAGGAAGGATTGGACTCTGATTAATAAAATACACATGAGGCTTGACCA